GTAAATTTACATTTTTGTATATGTATTTATAATTAACAATAATCATACATATTTTATTATCAATTATCAATCATCATTCAACTTTAATAAATATTTAATGCAGATTATTGAACGTGCTTTCTAAAGAATTTGTTATAATTAATTTTTTATATATGTAGGGTATACCGAATTCTGTCAGCACACTGAGCCCAAATTCGATTATAAATCAATCACTTGGGAGAATGTCAATCAACAATCAAAAGATTGCACCCACAGATCTGTCAATTAAGCAACAATGCGGAAGCTGTCATCACATGCCCAATTACAATGCCAATCCCCGTACAGTTTGAGCTGCACTGCTTCGTTGAGCAGGCATTGAGCCTAATCGAGGCATTGGTTTCGCCTTCGTCTGGGCATGTTAAATGTAGGCCAGGTATAAATCTTTTGCGCCATTTACACTTGCGTGCCCAGCAAGAAATCCCATAAAGTTGAGTATTATATTTTTGAAGTTTTTAGGCGTTTGTCTCCAAGGTGATCGACGTGACGTGCGAAGGATTTCTGAAATGAATAACTTACAACCAGATTGTTGCACTTTAGGTGCTTCACTTCTGCACTTCCGAAACACTGTCTTTTAGCTGACAGTTCTTTGCGCAGATGCGTCATAATATATTTTGGCATGAAAAAAAAACAAAAACACAACACTAATGCCCAATGATTATTATGCTCGGCAAGTCGCCGAGTAGACGACAGTCGTGCGTGTGCCTTGCATGTCCATTCAGCAATTACAGTATATATATTTACTTACATAAGATCCATAGTATATTCACAAATATATTTCATATGCAAAGCACATCACGTTTGATCGGCGTTTATGAGCCATATGCACAAACGTGTGCAGCACATACTTATAATACGCTGATTTATCGCATATAGTTAACGCCGCTGATCCGAGCACACAAAAATTCCCCAACAGAACATCATCTCAGGCTTACACTTTGCTTAACTAAATCATAAACTACATTATTTATGTCAACTGCTTGCGCCCAGCAGATCAACATTTGACGCCTGCTTAAGTCCATAATTGCTGTACAACCACCAACTAATTAGAGAAGATAGCAGCCATAAGAAATCAGTGCTTTCTAAACTGTAACTGTAAGCAATTAAATAATTTACATAGTCACCCACATATTTCCAATGATTTACTTGAACATATTAATTATGGCCTGGCAACAAACGCGGCCAGGCACTGCAAAAAATTTCATTAGACTCATTAGAGTGTTCCTCTCCACGGAAATCTTTAGTAAAAGGCGAAAGATTTATTCGACAACTGAAGAGAAACCAGAGTAGATTTTGAAGAGCAACCAACCCTCATCTACACTCCAACCCAGCTTTAACTGTTTGGGAATTCGAACACACAAGGGAACAATTAGAAACACCCTTAAGTAGGCAATGTAATTCTTAGACCAGGTATATTTTAACATATTTACCTATGTAATTTATTTTAAAGGTCTGTAAACTATGTTGGAGGTAATTTAGATGTATTTTTCCTAGGTTGTATATACATTTAGCCTTCCCATGTATTCAGAAGACTCTTGCTGGCACTCGTAGAATGGTTCTAATAGTGAAATCAGTTTTGTTTTATAATCAAATCTTTATTTTAAGCAAAATTCTCTAAGATCACTTATGGCTCGACCTCGCAAATATTAATAAGACGCACCATTCAAGATCTTTTGATTACAGTGACGACAATTATCAAGAAATTTAAATAAACTTGAAGGCGTCGCTAAACGAACACAAACACTTTATCGAATATTTATTATACAACTCAACCAAGAACGTATCCCATACGCTTAACAGATACTCTATATTCTTTTGATATGTGTGCAGAAATGCACGATGCGAGATCATAGGAATTTACTAAAAACATAGGATGAAACAAGCTAAAAGAATAACGCTTTTAAATGAATGTCTAAAAATATATATTTTAATTTTAAATTTGCCTTTATCCATCCGACAAAACTTGGCTTCTTTGTATTTTTGATCGATTTTCGGTAAATAAATAAAACCACAAATAAAATGCTTGTTCATTTATAAACAAATAATGCAATGAAATAATGCTAACATTAAAAACAATTTTGTTTCCTACTTAGAAGAGATGTCGGTTGCCGATATTTCGACCGTCTCTGGGCAAGGGTATTAATTCGTCCATGTTGCCGTGGTTGCATTAAAAATAAGTTTAAATGTTTTCAATTAAGTAAATAAGTACTACTAAGTGGTCACGATTGTTGCTGCATATAAATTCAATTCAACTCAAAATAGTTGTGACCGCTTCAACGTGCATTTCCATGTGCCAGTTGCTCTCAAACTGCAAGTTACTGAAGTCACAGCAAATCATCATCTTGCTCAATTTCACTTAAATGCACACACTTTCAAATTTAAATATAAAGATAGATACCCGTTTCAAGGTCAACCTGTCGTGCACTTAACCCCATTAGCTAGGTGCACTCTGGAAGGGGGTCGTTACGAAAAGTTAGTGCGTTTTTTTTTTCACATTTAGGCACATAATTTGATGCTTAAACTGGGGCATGACCAAAACAAAATGAAAATTAAATAAACCAGTTTCAATCTCACTTTAGAAACGACAATTTAATTGCAAGTGCGAATATTACTAAAGGTTACCTGAATTATTTAAGATATATGAATAATAATAATGAAATAGTTACTAAAGACAATCACAACAATGTATATACATGCAATTATTTTACAATTTGAAACTAATGCCATATTATTCGGGCCCGTGGATAAACTGGTCGATGGGCACATGCGTCAGAGCCTCGTTAATCAGGCGCAGCATGATGGGAGCCCACGACTCTCGCGTTTCCGGCAATATAATGCCATAGATATCTCGCCAGTAGCTGTTGGCCACATTTAAGGCAAGCTCGTCTGTCAAGGAGCCCAGTTAGAAATCGTATTTTATTAAGAGACAGCCAACACACATACCTAATTCGGGATCCGGAAAAATGCCGTTGGCCTTAATGATCATGTCGCGAATCTTTGGATTCACATCGATATCTTTGATACGCAAAAATCGGCGTCCATCCTTGTTATAAAACTCGCCATCCGTAACCACACGGTTCTCAACGTCAACTGCAAGCATGGAGATATCGAAAACCAACGCCAATAAGTAATATACTTTCTCTACCCACACAGTGTTACATTGAAGTTGCCCTTGGGCTTCAGCTGCAGCGAGTTGACCAGCATTTCCGCTTTGTAATTGCCGAGGAGATTCATCTTGGGCAATTGGGAGACAATTCGCAGCTTTACCTTGTCTCCATCGAGTTTGACATTAACTTTCTCGATTTTGTGCTCCGCAAAGCCATAGAGCTTGACATTTCGCACCGAAATGCGACCACTAACCGCTCCACTTGAATACTGGAAGCTCAGGCGATCTATTACGAAAGGATCGTACGGTTGAATGCCTAGATCGGGATCTCCTTTCCGCAAGCGTGGTATCAGTTCATTCATAATATTCTTGATGCACTCTCCAGCCTGGTCGGCATCCGCAGGACATTTTGGCAAATCGTCGCCTAGCAATTGCAAAATAAACTAAATTTAACACTGCGTATACGCAATCTGATTCAAATCCATACACACCATTGAGATACTTTATTTCCGCGGGCGCTGCACATGCTCCGCCGGCCAAAAGGCAAATCGTTGCCACCGCAATGTACTGCATTTTAACACAGCTGATTAATCTTGTCCTAGCTATTAGATTTTCCTTTGAATTGTGCAGGTGTGCTAGCGCCAACCTGCTGTTAGAATGATCGACCTCAAACTGAATCGAACGGGTGCTGGTTGGTGCTATTTTATTCTCAGAAATAGCGCAAAAAAATTACAAGCCCAGGCACGACTATAATTTAAAGTTAGTCGATTCCACTAAGCTAGGAAAATTGTACTTATAAATCAGTTGCGTTAACGGCATTTAGACTTCGACTGATTGAAAACCGGCTTAGCGACTGATTTATAATGCCGAATCATTAAATGGAAAACGATGCCAACAGACGACAGTTGCAAGTTTCAATCCCGCATACTATCACTAGTTGTTGAATTTTGAATGACAATGATTTGCATTAATAATTTAAATAATTGCCTGCTGACAATGGCTTATGCGTATGCGGTCAACTAATTATACCCTGTAACTACTTAAAGTCATTGTAAAGTAGTGTCAACATTGCTTCTATAATGTGTGAAGGGGGCTCTATAACAGTTAATAAATATTAAATGAATGTTAATTTAAAATTATATCTAGGATCAAGACATCCCAATCTGTGTGTGCGTATTTAATATCAATTGGTGTTAATATTTACGAGGTAAGACTTTTGAAGGGGTATATTTTAATCGGGAATCTTCAAGTTGAAAGACTTTTTATTAGTTTTAAGCTAATATTTAACTTAAAGGAACTTGTGCTACGAAAGCTTAAGAATTACAAAAATTTAATTAGTTGAGGTCTGACAATAATATTTTTCAAGTTCATTTTTAAATAGAGTCAATAACCCCAAAAAATAAAAATGCCTCAGTTGGTTAAAGTGCTTACAAGCTAAAAAATTGAGTATTGCTTAAGGTTTGGATGCTTGAATCTCAATCTGAGTTTGAAAATAAATAATAATTTATACGATTTTGATAATAAATAATAATATTGTAAATAAAGAAGCATAACAAATAATCACCAATCCTTTACCAACAGCAATTCAAATTAAAAAAAATAAATAAAGTAGCTTTTAAAAGCCAGCGCTATGACTTTCATTTCAAAACTAAGAAGGCACATTAATTATTAGAATATTAAAAGAAAGTTTGAAAAGTTTTCCATAGCCAAAGAAAATAATGAAATCACGGGACTGCGCAACTGGGCGAAAACATTTAACACATAACAGAAATTATCTTTTATACTTTCTAAATAATTGTTTATCTCATTATTTCCAATTACATTTGGCGAAAAGAAGTTTAATACATTTTTTCGGAGATTTCATTGAAATTTCTTTAATCATTTTATTTGAATACAAACTAAATAAACACCATGAACAAAGCATATAACCATAATTCGAAAAGAAGCCGACTCAAATCTTTGACGGCCACATGCCTAATCCTTAGTGACAATCAAGTCGAAGGGTAGTGCGGCAAAGAAATCATTGCCCACTTTGAGCAGTATGGGCTCCCAAATGGCCATTGTTTCGGGGAGCATAGCCTGATATAGCTGTTGCCAGTATTGGTTGATGAAATCCAGTATGACATCATCTGTTAATTCAATGGAATTGTTTGGATTATAAAATTTGTCATTGCATTTGAGAAGAATATGGTTTTTTCGCACTCACTCAGCGCCGGGTCGGGCACCAGGCCATTGGCATAGATGCGCATGTCACCCACTTTGGGCTCAGTCTCGAGCTTAGTCAGACGCAGATAGGTGTGACCGTCGCGCTCGTATAGTTCGCCCAAGGCGCGGGTTTTCATGCTGACGTCGGCTAAAATGTCAAATATGAGCAGTTGACACAGTAATTACATTTGTTTGTATGTATAGGGTACGCGTATTATGACCTAAACTTACTTAGCGTAATATTGAAGGTGCCCTTTGGAGTTATCTTCATGTCGTTCAGTTTGATGTCCGCCTTGTAGGCGCCCTCTGCCAGCAGTTGAGGCACATGGCTTAGCATATCCATGCGTACGCGATTGTTCTTTTGCCGGTAGTCCACCTTGTCGACAATACCTTCGCTCAGGCCATGAACCAGCACATTCCTCATGGCAATGCGACCCTGCAGTATGCCCGAGTTGTAGTTGTAGGAGCTTTTGCCCAGCAGAAAGGGATCCATCGGCGGTATGTTCAGATCGCTGATGCCGGTTTTCAGGCGAGGCGTCAGCTGCTGAAAGCCCTGCCTGATGCACTCATTAATGTCGCTGTCTTTCTGGCGGCAGGTGGGAATATCGTCGGCTGTTCAAATCAAAAATATTAAGTTAATCAACAAGTTCGAATGATACTAAATATAAATCATGAGCATCGCCTTGACACACATATGCACGCATCTCGTATCTGCTATGATCTATGCGCTTTATGCTCAGAACGTGACATTCTAGTCGAGAATTCCGCTTTTGTTAATCGATGCCGCACATAATTGCGAGTCTCCCCTGCCTGCCCCAGACGAGTCCCAAGCCCAGACCTCAGGCACAGTCGCTGAGGCGGCACGAGCAATTAAATTGTTGATGTTTAGATTTTTATTTAATTACTTAAACATTTTGTGTGACAAAAATGCCAACATTCAATTGCAAACGTTTTGCCTGAGCATTAACTAAGCGCTTCATAATATGGCGCATATCGCATTTGTCGCAACAAGTTTGTCGCTTAAATCTTTTGTACTGAAGGCTTTTTGCAACGGTCGCTGCGGCAGAGGAAGGTCACTTAGCGGAAGTGGCAATTGACTGCGACCTGTTCCAAACGCTATAAATAAAACTACCAAAAGCTTCTGATCTTTATGTTTTCAGCAAATGCGAGTCAAGGCTCAAAAAGTATTCCACTTCAGCTGTGTTCAAATCTATTTTATTGCCATGAAGGCCTGGATAAACTCACTGTCAGAACCTGTACTGTAAGGCTGACTATTTAATAATAGATTCTTTCAGATCAAAAAATGTAGTACTACACATAATAAGTAGTATTCTTCCGTCTCTTTAAAATTTTACTACTTTATGGGACACATAACAAGAATACCATTAATTACACTTTGCTTACCTAATTACTAATCTTGTTGATGTCTTTTTAAGTATTCTTGGAGCAACAACAACTTGGAGGTTAAGAATTACGAGCTTTTGAATCACAAACTCACAATGATTTGCCTTAAAAATCGTGCCAATAATATTTTGACGTCAGTGGGCCCCACATATCTAAATATGAGAAGGTTCATAATGGCCACATAATTTCCACTAATCTTTATATTGTAAATTGATCTATATAAAACTATTAGTACAACTTTGGGTTCTTAATTGAATTGACTTTAAGCTCGATTACAGATATGTCAAATAAACTTTTAGACCGGAAAAGGCCGGCAAATACCAGCTAGTTGTACAATATTCGATAGATATAATTATTTTATCTCAATATGTAGTATTTTCTGCTTTCTGCTTATAGTACTTTATTCACATATTGAATACTAATTATTTTATTATTTCAAAATCACATTTCATATTTGGCCAATGCCCTACCTTTTTAGGCAACATCATACATTAACATATTTTAAAAAAATGTCAATTGCCAATTATTATCGTTAAGGCATCTATTGAAAATTATTTGTAAATTTAATAAAAAAAATATTTAAAAAAATTTTCATACAATTTCCCAATTTAATAAAATATTTTATATAAATCTGATAACTGTTGCTAAATTTGCAATAGAAAATTGGCTCTAGTGCACGTGAATTTGATAGAAAAAAAATTTTACTTTGTTATAAAATTCGCACAACTTAGCGTGTTTGACACGATTGTTGCTATATGATGGCATATTATTGCAATTACTGATATTTATCTGCTAATTTAACAATTTCATTGTTGTCTCTACGTACATACTTTCTTTGCTCAAAAACAACGAAGGCGGCGCAGGGCATACAAGTCGATATGAACAATACCTATTTTTAGGGCTTTTGCACCTTTTTTTTGTAGACATGGCAATTAAAAAGTTCTTAAATTGTTGACACGATGCAAATAGTTATACAGTTGCTGGCAAAAAGCTACTTATAAAATAATATTCAGTCATTGATCAAAAGTCGCCATCACATGCTTAAATATGCGTTTTAAAATTGAATTTCTTTCACAAGTTTAGGAAACACATAATAACAAAAGACTTAAGGCACAAACTCCTTCCTTTCCTTGGGTTAGCAACATTTATTGGCATAGAGCCTTTAATTTGTTAAACTTCCTAAGAATACTCACCCAATTTTGTGATGGGCTTGAACTCAATAGATGGCACCACGAAGCCTTCGTCAGCAGCTAAGCTCAGGCCCAGGAACGCGACGAAAATAATAGCACTTAATACACTGGCCATTTCGAAAATAAAATAATTCAGTTTTACTTCAAACACTCAGAATTTCACTTTCGTTTGGGGATGGATTTAAATTTAAGTGATCGGTATCAGCAACGACGCCCCCGGCTCATGCAAATGCGAATTGGCATCTGAAACCTACGACCGGCAACTGACTTGTATTTATGTCGAAAATAGAGAGTAAACGCAACGCTAGAGTCCAATGCGCCAGCATTTGCAAATAATAGTCTCCCCAGCCGGGAACTCAGCAGAGTGGGAATGGGAGGAAGGGGGTTGGGGCTGCCAGTGAAACGAAAATAGCTTGAAAATAATGACGACAACGCTGAGAAAAGTAAAGCCAAAACAAAATCAGTAGCAAAATACAAACGACATTATTAAATACCCTAGACAAAAGTCGTGAAGTCGGATCATTCCCCATCTGGTCGTGCTCAGCCAAAGCTCACTCAACTACCGGCAGCTGTCCGATTTCGATGCGCTCCAAGCTGTTTGATGCTTCCTCGTCGCGCTGATTATTGGCTGTGCTGCTGTGAATCTGCTGGCCAGGTTGACTTTTAACAGTTACCCAGGCGTAAAATAGCCCCTTGCCTGCATCAAGCCGAAGCAAACCTAACACGAACAAGTATTAGTAAGTAGATATTGTAACAATCAAAGCATTGACTCTCACCTTTTAATTCAATCCAACGAACATATATATGTGTATGTTAACCGACATGTTCTCAATCCCTGTGAAAATTAAAGCTCATGTAGAAATTACGCCAGTCACTCACTGAACACATCCAATAATTGCAGTTTACACTATAAAACATGACATATGCTTCCATTACTGTCAGCATTCAGTTTATTCAGAATGAGAAAAATCTGTACGTGGGCTTAATGGGCATATCGATTGAGTTTTTATTTAAAGCAAGTACCTGTTAAACTTAACGTTACAGGACAGTTCCAATGAGAGCCCGTAATTGATAACAACTCAAAATAAGAGCTCAACTTTAATAATACGTATGTAACTTCAAAAACCATTTCTTATTTGATTGTATTGCTCTTAGTACTTAAATTGTATTTAAATCTTGAAGAACTTTCACTAGTATAACCTGTAACAGCTGAAAGCAATGTGAGAGTATAATGAAGTTGTGCAAGTATATTCAAAACGCACTCCGGGCGGGTACTTGGATACGGGTACGGGTCAAAAACTGTGCTAATCTAGCCATTTCTAGTTGAATACCCTAGTCAAATTAATGGCAATTATATTTTGATAACACCGGCCCCTTCTGCTTACTAATTGGCTAAGCTTAGCTAGCTTAAGCTTAGCTCTCATACAACAATAGTATTTATAGCCCGTTGTGCTCAGAACATCTTTGAGCTCATACATTGTTACTGAAAGAGAGAACGAGCCCCAAAAAATGATATTTCGATTAAGGTTAACTTATACATAGAGGAATTAGAATAGTTTATGTAAATATTTACTTACCCAAATATTAACTTGCAATTTTGATGTAATTATTATCTTGATGCCATCTGCTAGCAGAAGGAAGACTGAATTTTCCTTATGCCGAATACTAGACAAACAATTTGAATTAGTTATTTCATGAATTATTGAAATTGCATAATACTTAGAAAAGGAAAGCATACATTTAAAGAAGGGAATAAGCTGTTTCTGCGCTTGGTAGAAGATATATGTATATGTCATGACGGTTATTGATCGGCCAAGTATTCATTATTACCAGCTAGAGGGTATCTCCATGTCGCGCACCAGGGAGCTCTGGTTATTTTAACAGAAAAAATACATATTTATGTTGTAAAATATAGCATTTTTAATTATTTTTAGGTGTCCACAAATCTTTTGTATAATGCGAACAAGTGGACAAACAGTTGCAAATAATTTGCCTCAAATCTTATTGAATGACTCTGCAGGTTATCAGCACTAAAATTAGCTTGTTTTAAATAAGTGTATTCAAATATACGACAAAAAATTAGCCAGTCATGCTTAAGATTAGGTATATTTTTCATAAGTCTTTGGTAAGTAATTAAGTACTCAAGTACTTTCCGCGCACGTACTCCTACTTATCTAACATAAGATACAGATCCCATTAGCTAAATTTAGAGCCGAGTAACAATAATATTCCCAGAACAGCACTCAATTCAAATAATTTGTGGTACTTCCCAATCTTAGCTTGCGGTCTATAAAAATGTATTATTCAACAAGTGTAAATATTATATTTCATCTGCTTAGCTTTTTTTATTCTAATGTAAACTTAATCAAGCCCTCCTATGAGCAGAATGTGTGATTCGGAATTTTTTAAAACTTTTAATAATTAAATACAAAATGCGTTTTTTTTTTTAATAGCTCAGTTTTTATTCAAGACATATGCCAAATACCACTCTTCGCCTATCTTATCTCGGTCCCAAGACGAAATCTAGTTTTTTAGCCCAACGAACCGGCCTCTGCACCACTCACTTATCAACAGCTTAGTTCTAATAATCTGGGTACCTAAGGTCTTAAGCAAAACCCAGCCCGACTTATCAGCTGGCGTAATGAATGCCAGTGCCAGCTTGTGCCTTTTGCAATCCGATCAAAAGTCAGTGGAAGACAAGAGCACAGCTCACTGCACGCCGCATCTTATCACACTCAACAGCATGATGCACCAGGAATGCCAATTCCAAGAAGCAATACTCAAAAAAAAAAAAAAAAAAGAAAGACAAGTAGGATGAAAAACAATAACTTATCAATAGTTCGCGGCACACAAACAGAATTTACTCAGACAAATGAGCCGCAAATGCTGTGGGTAAAACCAAAAATTGAACAATTCGAATGGAGTTTAAAAGAAAACACATGGCATAGCCCGACTATTGACAAAAACTGCGACAATGCCAAAGACAATGGCAAACAGTATAAGAAAATAGAAAAATAGAAAAATTATCTGGCTGTGAAACAAACGCAAATTGAATGAAACCCAAACAAAGGCGCGCATTTTGCCACCTAGGGAGCTGGGCAAATACACAAATCTCAAATCTCGACTCGAATTCTATGCCCAAAGCCAGCTCATTAACTGGGCCTGGTCACACTCAAGCACGCAAGAACAAACATGCATGCTGCACAAAAGGCTTATCAGCGGGCGGCGCTGAGTGCGACTTAGGTAAGCGGCGCATGCGCGAAGCGGTGCCAGGACGGAGGTCGGACGTGCGCAGGCCATCAGCTGATTTTATGGTTTTGTTTTCGTTTTGCAAAAATAAATTTCCTTTTCGATTTGTGTAAACAACATCATAAACGACTGCGGATTACGGCAGCCGGATGATAAGAGACACGAATGCAGCAATCTGTTTTTCTATCTATATAAGCTTGGCCCGCGTCGATGCAGGACAACAGTCAGCTAAACGAAGACAACCGAAGCGCATCACTTGACAGCTAGAGAATGGCTCTGATAATGCAAAGCAACAGTCCGCAAAGCTATCGTCACAAGAAGTTCGACCTAAGGCGTCCGCGCTGCGACGAGCTGGAGCTGCAGATCAAGGAGGAGCTGCTCGCACGCCTAGCCACACCTGGCAGCAGCTGTGCCCATGGCTACAACAGTGGGCTGGATGGTGAGGACAGCAGGAGCAGCCAGTGCTCCAGCGAGTACAGCGATGTGTTTCTGTCGCTGCCCAAGCGACGACGTCTCAATAGCACCATATGTGATGGATCTAATGGCTCGGAGTCCGCATCTTCCTCGCAATCCCTACCGCCAGCCATCAGTCCGGAGGCGCTGAGAGACATTTGTAAATACCATGGAAATATGGTGCGAAAATTTCCCAAGAAAGAACGTACGCCCAAGGATCAGGATAGACGCAATAAGAACACAATTGCCTGCCGTATGAGCCGACGTGTTAAGAAGCTCGAACACCTGGCCATCGAGGAACAGTACAAGGAGTTCACCGCACAGCATCTCAAGATTGTTGAGCAGAGCATGCGAGCCACCGCCTATTTCAATCATCTCAATCAGCTCGTCAAGCACGATCACCCCAAGAGTGCACCCCTGGCGCCGGCTCCAGTGCCGGCCAAGAACTTCAGTATTGACTATTTAATCAACGGCATTAAGAGCGAACAGTGTTAGTAAATACTCGTTTAATCACAGTGTGGTTAAAAATTCAATTAGCATTAAGGCCTAAACTTTAGCTTTATTAGTTATTAATTTATTGATAAGCCTAATGTTATATTGGATATATATATATATATAATTAATTATATTCTCTAAGAACTAAGCAGCAAATGTTTTACATTATGCTCGAATTAATAAACCTGATATTTTAAGTATCTCATTATATATAACTGTTTGTCCTGACTGACTGACTTGGTTAAAAAAAAACCCCAGCCAGAGGTAAAAGGCACTTAATATTATTTTTAAGATTCTCACCACAATTTTTATTCGATGGAGCTAAACATATTTAATGGAGTGTTAGCATAAAAATTGCAATGGGCAAGGCCTAATATTAAATAATATTTTAATAGACCTTTTCTTGAATAGAGACTGGTGGACTTTACGAAAGCTGTGCTCTCTTATATAAGACTGAGAACAAATTTATTTCTCTTATGGCATCTCTCTCCGATACCATAATATAATAATAATAAATAAGGTTTTTTACGCTTGCTGCAAATAATTTAAGAGCTGGTATCATACAATTTGGTATGTAAGTTCTCGCATGGCTTTGATAGATATCGAATATTTAATTCATGTTCTCTTCGCATTTCTACAAATTCTGCCTTTTTAATAATCAGAATTTATGTAGATCAAAATAGTATAACTTTTTAAAGTTATGGAAAGCTGAATTTTGCATTAGTTAAATATATTATTATTTTTTTATTATTATTACTATGAAACTGATAAATAAAACTGTTGAACCCATGAGGCCAGCCCTTACTGTCTTCATTCCTTTCACAATATCAAGCCAAGCAGAAAATCAATGGTCCGCAGATGTGCACTTTGTTTATAAGGAAGTTCCTATGATAAAAGCTTAACATCGAGCAAAACTGGCTCAAAGTGCAGTCAACTGTGCCGCGTATAACAGCAGGAAAACCAACAAAAACAACTGCACATAAGTTGGTTAATTAAACTTGAGTATTCACGTTGAGTAGTTGGACCGTCTCCTCCCCAGCTGGTAATTAACTGTGGCTATTTTTTTTTTTTTTGTATTGCGCAATGCTTGAGCAGCTAATTACTTTTAATTTTCATTGTAGGCCATTTGATAACGTTCCGAAGCGACTTCCTATGCAGCTGGAAAATCCAAAAGACAAATTTCCGTCGACAAAGGCAGAGGCAACCCACTTTACCAGCACTTGGCACTTGTAGCACTTGTCTGTGTCTCTATATGAATATGAGTTAAACAAAAACTATTTTCTTTGTAAATATTGTTGTTGTTGTTGTGGCTCTCTCGTTGCTTAACATTGAAAACTGCATTCGATTTTCACACCAGCTACAGAAACTTCAACGTACACCAAAGTTTGTGGTTGCAACACTTTGGCGCACGAGCTGCTGAACTTGAGCTTTTCACACTTTGAGCCAATTGCAGTCGCTGGCACCCCTCTACCAACCCCATCCCCTCTAACCAACCTCTTGCCAATAATAATATTTGACGGTGTTTCGCAATTTCTTTGCAGCTCGTTATTCATGCGATGCAATCTTTGCCGCCTGGCTCAACCTTGAGTAATGAGAACATTAGATATATGATTAGGTCCAGAGATACACGATCACGGAAAATCTCGACTGAAAGTTTATTTCGAAAAATGTAACAGTTTGACTAGTCCAAAAAATCAATGTGCATGCATACTATTCGAGTATGTACACATGTAAGTTTGCATGTTTGACCAAGTTTACGTGCCGCTAAGCTGCTAGTTAAATATTGCCCTATTGTACGATTTTCATTTCATTTTTAGTTTTATGTATATAGAATAGCCTGTCTGTCGGTTATTAGTAATTAATATGGTATAAGCTAATAAGATAATCACCTGTGTGTGTAATGCATTTACATATATATCGAAATGGAGCCATATATTTTTGCATTTGGCTTTATTAACCAAACATAAATAAATAAGCACATGCTTATCTCTTATAACTTATATATGCTTTATGATCTCTGTGTCTCTTATAATAATAGATATTAAAGTAAGACATCCATTTTTTATTTCTCGCAGTCTCCGTGTTCATGTGGAAGTGCTCTACCGATTTTCCCTACAAACCAAATTTTATGTCAACATATCTTGAATGACAAAAGAGTTTTTGATAAATAACTTAACTTTTTAGCCATCATATCTATGACAGCTACTGGAATTTAGAGGATTTGCTTATTATTTTTACTGATTAAGGTAATTTGATGGTCATATGACTCTTGACCTATTTTTCATTCGATTGAAATGAGGCAGCATATTGCAGTTTTCAGTAATAACCCCCGAATTGATTTGAGGCATTGCAATGCCGAAATATATGTAATATACTCATGGGTAATTCGATGACCAAATTTTTACCACTGGCAGAGAAGTCGATAAAATTAGCACTCGCTTTGACCTAAAATAATTTAGTAAAAAAAACTCAGCTTTGTTAATAATAATAAAGCATCAGAATTAAAAAGGGCTTGTAATTTCTAATCAAACACCTGGGTTAAAATTGTATAGAATAAGAGATTGGTAATATTTCAGTTCAATTAAAAGAATAATTTATTAGTACTTCAGTACTTCACTAATTGCAGGACTTTATAAGTTATACATCACATACAAACATTCTTCATAAGTGGTCTAATTTTGATCCAGTCTGAAACAAGCTGCTAGAATTGCGCATAAAGAAATCGCATTTACAAAATAGTTTTTAATTTTATTTTGAAAGTCAACAAAAAAATAAATTAATGCTTAAGCAACTAAATCACAATCAATGGCTATATGGGGTATTATGTAACATATTGTATATGTGACGAGTTGGACTCAGTGCTGGGACCCAAAGATCAGTAGTTGCTGCGAAAGCGCCATTTGCTGTAGGAACTGCTGCTGCTGGTGGGGCAGTTGCAGGCCAGCGGCAGTTACTCCCCGCTGGAAGACGGCCTGCTGTAGCAGCTGGCGATAGTAGAGACTGAAGCGGACCTGTTGCTCCATTATGGCTGTTTGTTGGGCCCGATACTGTTCGTATTGCTGCGCCAGGTGCGCATCCTGCGCCTGCTTGGCCCGCCGGCTCAGAAGACACGCCAAGGTATTGCGATCCCGACGACGCTGCTCCTTGGAGCTCCGTTGGTGCGGTGTCTGACAGCGACGCACCATGTTGGCGTGGTAGGTACTAGCAGGAGTTGAAGCAACACCGGACAGCTTCTGGTTGGAGGCGTCGCTTGTTTTGTTGCTGGAGGCGGTGGCTTCGATATTCAGTTCGTTGTCCAGCCATGGGCGAAAGAAACCCTTCATCTGGCGACGTTTGCAGGGTGGCGTATCTAACGTCATGTTCTCCTTGTTCTGATCCAGAATCTGGTCCACATCCCGCTTGCGCTTGTGTGCCGCAAACTTCTTATGCACATAACTGGACGAATTGATGACGGTTTCCATATTCTGTGAGTGCTGCATGTCTTGTGCGTTGTGTTGTTTATGCTTTGACGTTTTGTCTTTGAATGCTCCTGTTGTCCGCTTGATATCCTGTTTATATGCGCAGGATGGCAGCGCTAATCCGGGCACCTCGCTCACAGGTAGCGAGCCCTTAAATTTGGGAAACGCGATGGACACGTAAACAGACGGATTAACGCATCTTTATTACCTAACTAATCGTTGTTTGGCCGAGCATTTTGAATATTTTATGGCCCACGGCAACTAATTGCCGAACATGTTGTTCTTGTATCTGTACCTGGAGTACCTGGCCGCAGCTTTTCAGAAATCAAATGTTGTCGCGGCTACCGGAACTGGAAAATTCTCGATCGTATATCAGACACATAATTTTTTCTATTTTTATTGCCCTACTTGACGCCATACGTTGTGTGTGGTCCTTCGCGATCTTCGAGCCACTTTCCAGTTTTTTGTCGCAATTTCTTGGAAATTCATATGCAGGTCTGCATTTTAGAAATTTTTAAGGACGGCTCAACAAACAAAAGGATCTCAAAATGGTTTCGGCCGAAAGGTAACACACCACTTACAAAAGGCAAACGAATTTGATTTTAATAAATAAAAAAATTCATAAATACTATGTTCGTTTTTTTGACAAATTTAATTTTCGTGAAATAAGTTCATATCACAAAATTGGGTGAATTCCTCTTTTGTGCATACAAACAAATGTACTTGTGTTAATATTTTGTGAACTATCAATGCAATCAGACGTATTTGGGAAAACATTTTTTTAAGGCGAATTTGTTTTTCCCACATTTCTTAAATTTAGTTTTAACATATTAAGAAGTCAGTTGAATGTTGAAGGGTTCAAGGGTCAGCCAACAAATATTTTATATTCATTTATTTTTTAATCTTTTTTAAATGTTTTTTTTTTAACATTAAAATTAAATATTCTATAAGCTTAGATATATAGTTATTCTTAGCCTATCTTTTTTCTTTAATAACTATGCTATGCTTTAATAATTTTAAAAATCCTGGTTTTTCACTCTTTTAAATAGGTTTTCAGAGATAAGAAGCCTATCAACTATTTTTGCATACGATCAATGTCTGTTTTTACAGGTTTTTCTGAATTCAATCTACCGTGTTAAAACAGAATTCGGTGTTTATAGAAATCACTTAGATAATAGATTGTAATTGTGTTATATAATGCTATGGTTTGAGTCAGCCACAGGCACATGTTGTCACATGTGCTAATTTAGCCTTAGCCGGAACTCTATTGCTCCAGTAACAATCAACACCTTTGCTAATCTTCAATCTAGACAGTTGTATTAAATTGCGGCTACTTTGCATTAAATCATCATATTGCGTTGATTAATGGACTCCATTAAAACGATTGAGTTAAGTGACATGTCTATACATTTACATTTATAATTAAACAAGCGTTTTATCATTAAACGTGGCTTTTTAATAGTTATTACTGTTATCAACGGACAATACATATTATTATATGATAATTTTTAACGTTTGATAAATTTATATCTTGCATAACGTCAGTTAATAATAGCAATGTTATCGAAATCAACTCGTCAAAAAGTCTTCTATTAAACTGAAACCTAACAATTAATTAATTAGACAAAATCAAGATGTAAACAATGTTTTTGAAATGCGATTGAAATATGGTACGCTGTTAGCATATATTTATCAGATTTTGTTGAAGTTACCGAAAGAACTTAAGCCCTTTTCATTAAAAATCCATAAGGAAATTCACTTTCTGTGCATAACTCTCAGCTTTTAGGGTCTACAGACACTTAATTCTTAATTACATAAACTAATAGAATTTATTTATACATTACTCGAACGAGGCGAGTTTTCTTAAAGTATTTTTTAAAATGTGTGGGCATATCGCGAATACTTTTACAAAGATTCTGAAAATGAATTTGAAGCATCAGATCTGCTAAGTAAGCTTTAATTTCGCCCAAAATCCTTTGACCCTTACCTTTAACCGAGTATGTCTCAAATGAATTTTCCTGGGTATACTTTGAAATCTTTGACTCCCCCCAGCCCAGCAAGGAGAATGGATTTTTTTAAAAGTGTTTTACAAAAATTAAAATTATTAAAATTGTCAAAATGGTTAGCAACAATTTGAATTTCCGATACATTTTAACTGGCCGGCTCTAACGGCTAGCAGAAAATAATACTCCATAATATTGACAGCCTTATTATGTGGTAGTCCGTGTTAGTACATGGACAAATAAAGCTATTTATTAAAAATCCATGATCCAGTACCTTCAGCAGGGCACCTACTTTTTGCAGTTGTTTAGGGTCGTTTTTGGCGACAAACATCTGTAACGCACATGTCCATATAAAAGTAGGAATTGATTTTTTTAACTCGACCTTTTTTTGTCAGTTTTTTTTTTTGCAGAGAGCAGTCATGCTAGCCTTAAGCCGAATTACGGTTTTTATCCTAAATGACCCCGATTTAAGTTACAGCTGTTTGGAACTCTAATATACTTTATAAGCATATATTGATGATGACTTAATGAAAGCCAAAGAAACAGCGCACGCAATAGTCCGCAAGAATGAAGGATGAAATGAATATTGTGTAATCGATATAAAAACTTCCTTTAACAATTTGGTTTATTGATGGTCAACAATAATAAATAAATAAGACTTTAAAAGTCATCACAAGGTCAATAAAAAACTAATCACAATAAATAAAAACTAAAACCTCTACAAGCTCTAGCTCAGATAAGTCTGCATTGAGCGAAGTCTTAACGCTTCGTGGCAGTTGCCTGCTGGGGCCAGCATTGCGCAGTCTGCGGCAGTTTATGTTGGGTATCGCTCAGTGGAGCTCGGGTGGTGGCCATGGCTTGCTGCAGAAAACGAACGTAGTAGAGGCTCAGTCGAATTTGCTGCTCCAGATTGGCCTCGTGCTGCACCCGATAGTGCTCGTACTGCTGCTCCATGGCCACTTGATTGGCCTGTCGGGCGCGGCGACTCAGGAGGCAAGCCAAAGTATTGCGATCGCGACGCTGTTGCGCCTTGGGGCTGCGCAGACGGGGCGCATGGGAGCGCACCATGTTGGCATGGTAGGTGGTTGTTACTGTGGTGGGCGTGGGTCTACGTGGGGGCCGTGACTCTTCCGGACCGGTTGTTATGGCTGCTCGTGGCTCATCCAGCCAAGGGCGAAAGAAAGGACGCTTCGCGGGCTGCTCCATAATGAAGATCACATCGTCCGTCTCCTCGTCCTGGCTACGTTTGCGTTTCAATGCGGAGAACTTCTTGTGTGCATAGTTGGGGGCAGTTGCAGAGCTATCCATTGTTATTGCTTCGTCTGCGTCTAATCACAAATGCTGTTGATGTTGTTCTTGTTCGCCGTCTGGTTGTCGACTGTGCTGCCATTGTCCTGGGCGTAATCTTTTATGCAACATTAGGTAATGAATATCGAAGCGCTTGACAATCCGCCCGCCAACTCGAGCGTTTCCCACCAATCCCTTGCAGGTATTTCCCAATCAACTTCATTCATTCAAACGTGTGCCTGCGCTCGAACTAATCGCCCTGCCGCACCCCGAAAAGTTCCTAGGCAAAACTACCTGCTCCAGACTGGCCTCTTGTTGTCGTCCTCAAGGGCAGGTATATGGAGCGCTGGCTTGACTAATCCGCCGGCTGCTGGCATTGCTAGCGTTAGCTCAGGGTGTCATAAACCAGTTGTCCTTTTTTGACTGTTTGTATCGCCAGCGATTTTCACTGGAAATACCTGTTGAGTGAGCCAAGCCAGAGTAGACCCAGTGCCTGGCATTCTAATCCTGGCGCTCATATGGCCACGGTGTCTACGGCCGCATTGTTCGGCTTCCTTTGTGTCGCCTGTAAAGTTTTATTGTTACCGCCAATCCGCAGAGCATTTATGACTTCAGCTTGTGAGATCGGCTGGCCAGCTGAAAATATTACTCTTCCCAAGGTACAGGGCATCATTACTGAATCCCAGAATCCGGCACCCACACACACACACACGCGAAGATATCGTTCCTTCGGTCGAAGTGTGTGCGATCGTAACCATGTCGGATTTTTCATTCAATGCCTCTTTTTCAAAGTCGTGTCCATTGATTTATGCAGTCACTGCCGTTCGACGGCTAAGCGGATTTATTTCAGGTGGGTTTGAGTCCGGCCCTGAACAAATGCTGCTGAGTCAAGCACCAGGACTACAATTGTTGTTGCCGCACTGAAAGATTGTCATATTGTTTGATTACAATGATCAGATCCCGTTTTCCGTTGGCCGGAAAGAATTGATAACGTAAAAGTAGTGCATTCTTCAGTACTTTTTACGATTATGCAACGGTTCTACTCCGTATGTAATGGGGCACACTTGTACGAACCTGCCAGGAAACGCTTTCTTTGCAGACAGAACGACCACTTCTTGGAAAGAATTTCTAGAAGAAAGCGATAGAGGCTGGGAAATGTGAATGAATTGCGTTTAATACGATTGATTTACTTGTGACCTTTCTCACATATTGTCTTGCATGGTCGCGTTTAGATTTCGTAGCAATTACATACATAATAAGAATTCATTAATAACCCCACCGCCTATCCAATGAAACCTGCTTAAACATAATCTAATGACTGCCTCCACTTAAACAATAAGAATAATGAACAGAAAATGAATTTGTTAGAATTACAATAGATTAAATTTGTATATACCAAGTTTTAAAGCCATTTTAACTGAATATATTTATATGCATAATGTTTAAAAAAATATACACCCTTTTATTATTATTAATTTCTTTGTATTTTCGACAAAGAAGAAAGGTGTTAAGAGCAAGTAGTTTTAGATAAAAAAATTAACAAATTAAATTCGCTATATTAATTAAAAACACAATAAATTAAAGAGGGGAGAACAACTTTTAAGGAAAGAGTGAAGAAATTATTAAAAGGATATACAATATTGAGTAAAAAGGAAAAAGAGAACCTGTCCGAAAAGCTCTGCCCAAACTCATAGCTGGGCGTGGACAGCGTGCACCCGAAGGTATCCTGAAAGTAAAGAATCTATTTATCAGTTCAGTAAAGAAAACGTGGTACGAGCTATTGTAATCTATCTTATACCGTAAGCTGTCGTTCACGTAGCTAGGATTAGTTCCTGATAGGTCTGGAAGGAGCAGAGAATTGCAGATGCAGAAAACGAGAATCTGTGTCGCCAACAGTTATCCTTAGTAGAAAGACCATACCGAGGATTGTTTGGAAAATATTATCGTACTTATTTAATTCAATTTACTTGCCTTACTTGATAATAGTTCAGCGATGAGAATATTTTACGTGATATACGAAATTATATTTTTCATATGCCTGCATAGATATATAAAAAGATATATTCACATGTAGTATTCGTCCATAATTCATCATTTTATTGACGTCCTGCACACTTAAAGTTTGGATGCAATATTTCGGGAAAGTCCCAATAAATTTCCATTCAATTGCCCATTGTTAGTAAGCCGGCGAACGTGCAGCAGCTCATGGAATGACGTGCAACATAATGAGCCAGATTAGCGGTAAGCGAGATAGGAATCTAAAAGCGCTGAACCGATATTGGGATCGGCTACCTCATCAAAGAACATTCTGGGACAGGGCGCAGGCGCTGGCTGAATGCTCTCGTATTCTGGTGAAATCTTCTCGAGAAATACCAAGAAATATCAGGCAGAGACAGAGAGCAGCAGGAGAATGTACTCGTGTATGTAGGTGCGAGCCGAGCACCGTTGGGCAAATGAAAAATTAATTACAAAAAGGACTTGTCCGAGCAGGTAACAACATACCATACATACATATTCTGAAACAAATCCTTTTCTTTTTTGGACAATGCAGACCTTTGTCAACGAAGTTTTCCCATAAACAAGACGCAGCTCACCTTAATGATAATTTCCCGAGCAGGTAGCAAGCGCCGTCTCCTATAAAAGCAGCCGTTGCGCAGCACAAGGAGCACAGTCGTTCGACAAACACGAACATAAAAACATCTCAGCATTTGAACACAATCCTCACCTACACGATGGCACCCTCACAAATGGATTATCCGCAACAAGAAACCGAAGCGAACCTCGTTTATACTCATAAGAAATTCAACACAGGCTGCTACAAGCACAAAAAATTTGGCAAGCGCAGCAGCAAAGAGGAGACGGGCACGACCACGCCGCTATTTCGCCCTTATGCACTGAGCGACAACACGCCACGGAAGCGTCGTCAGGAGTCGGAGCAGCGCCATCATCAACACCAGCTACCGCCCACGCCGCCAACAACGCCTCCACAGCAGCAACAACAACATCAACAGCAACGGTGGCAGCCACAAACGTACGCGCTACCAACGCCAACAGCCACGCCCACGCCGATCATAAATCACACTCCCACAATCATGCCCACACCGATAATGAATCATCAGGCGTTCGCCTATGTGCTGCAAAAGCAACGCGCGGTACTCCAAATACGCCACATGCTCAGCATCAATCCGGATGCCAACACCTGGCCAGCGGAGTTGCGCAATGCGCTCTACTCCATGCTCCAGTCATGAGTGGATATGCGCTTCCTCTTAATAGGTGGCATCGACAGATGCCACCAACTTGGTGATTTGCCTAGCAACCAGTGATATAGAATTTTAAGTGCCTCAGAGATTGTACAGGGTATGAAATTGTGAATTAATGACATTAATCTAGACTTAATAATTGTACATACAAAATATTGAATCAAACATAATATTAAGAGAACCAAATAAAACAATTGGATATACTACATAAAAGTCTTTCTATCAGTGCTGAACATAAATAACGCCCCACAGTAATCTTTGCCTTTAGATGGCTTAAGCAGAACTTATAGAAGGCAAAAAACACAGTCGTGTGGAGAATTGTAGGCTCATAAAACATTCAAACATACATTTATATATAAATAGGGATAAATCAATTTAGAAAGTGTTGCAGATATTAGAAGTAAAATAATAGCTATAACCCCGTTTAACAAAAAAGAGTTAAATAAGTAGTTTCTCTTTTAAAAGCTTAAAGGCTGATGGAAAAATTGAAAACAATTAGGCAAAGGGACTTTAGTATAGTATGTCCTAAGTTAAGCACTTCATATAGTTGATGGGTGCACAGAGCATAATTGACCTATTAGTCCATAGACTTGTAAATAAGGGTGATTGCAAACATTTACTTTTAAACTGAATTAAATAGAACTCTTAAACAAATACAATGGTTGTCTTAAAATCTACAGAGAATTGTTAAAGCCAAGGCGATCGAAAACGGAGTTCGCTTGAATCCTTGGACGGTGCCCAGCATTAACGCTAGAGTGGCGACGCGGAGCAAACGAATTCGGCTTATAATCGCGCTGCTGGGTGCGAGGAGGTGGCGGCTGCGCTGACGCTGTTGTGCCCAGACGCTTATGCACAGGTAGCGTATCCTGTCGCGTAAGCAGCTCATCGCTGCGCATACGTATAGCCTTTCCCTTGACGGGGCTGAGGCGGGCTCCAGGTTTCTGTGGCGGTGACGCTTTGAGATTATACGTTTTACGCGTGGCGTGTAATTTAGAAACTGTTGATTGAAATGGTTATTTTTGTATGCTATGGAATGCAAACAGAAGTCAAGCTTACCCAGGCCCAAACGAGACTTTATGTTACGTGCAAAGCTGCTGTTTCCACGCGCTTTGTAGGGCGTGTGTGGAGCAATTTCTCGCACCTCTGCCGTAGAGGCGAACTTAACAATTTTCTCAGCGGGTGCGGCCATATCCACATCTAGTTCACAATCTTCGGCTTCGCTGTCAAAATCACTGTCAGCCCCTATTAAGTCCTCGTCATCCATGCTTTCATCTTCGCTATCATCGCCACGTTTTAATGGCACCTTGTGCACAAGCATTACCTTCTGCTGCGAACGAACCACGGACGTTGCAATGTTCTTGGCCTTGACTATGGGCGTGTTGCGTCTGGCACCGCTGCCGCTGTTGGTCCCTTGAGTGTTCTTTAAAATCGATTTTATTTCCTTAGCCAGGCCCGTATTGTGCTGCACCAAATCCAACGATTGCTTGCCGCCCAGGCGTGCAAAAACCGAGTTATTGCTAGAGGTGGCCGCCACTTTGACACTGGATCCCTTATGAACGCCAGTTATGTGCACACGCACGTTGCTCTCCCCGCTGCTAGAGACAATACCCTCCTGAGCATCGTCGTCACTCTTGCTATTGTGCAAACGTGCAAAGACATCCGTTTTCTTAGTGCTGCTTACACGATCCGAGTATACTGCAAAACAGGCAACCAAATTATTACAGGGATTGATTAAAATAAGTTGCATATAAAGTTGTCAGAATACATATTTTGGCTATTAGCTCTACCAGTTTAAATTAGATTTGGATAGATATTAATGCTAAAATGTTATCATACACTGCTCACGCTTGGCCAGGATTTGCTTGCTTCTTTCTGTCGTGCCTGACGGCAAAGTAACTTTATATTTTCCTTCATGTTCAGGCAGCACACGACGTGCTGGTTTTGTGGGTGGCGATGCTTTGTTGGCGTTGCCGGCTGCAACTGGAGATGATGACACATGCTTGCTGCTGGGTGGTACATGCTTGCTGCTGGGTGGCACAGGAGCTGCTCCAGCGACGGTCTTTGACATGGTTTTGGGCAAGGGCGCCTCCGATATTAGTACCTTGTCGAGCACATTTTGATCGCTCACTTGTTTCGCATGGCGCAGTATGGCTATAATATCGCCCATGGGTGTGATGCCCATCTCACGCAGATACTCCTTATTCAGATCGAGTAGCATGTCCTCCTGTATACGATTCTCCACAAATATATGAGCATAGCTGGCCGCAGCTGGGGATGGAATTCCCCCGGCGTTGAAAAACTTCACCCATCGTGCTGTAATATGTGTACATAAGTTATTCATATATATGTATATATATATATGTTATACATGTTATACACACCTGCACTTGACTTTGACATGGCTTTCGAGAATAACGCACTTTATAACTATATTTGTAATTTTCACATTTATACAGTGCGATAGAGCTGTACAGAATCGTTTGCAATCAGTTCAATCGAACAACTCTGTAGGCTAACCGAATGAACTAAGTTCCACAATGTTGTTTATTTTGTTCGTCTCGGAATAGCCATATTTTTCGTATTAAACTGTATTTTGTTGATGCAGTTTATGTTCTTAACTGCGTTAATTATATTTAATACCAAATGGTTTTTATATTTTATAAAACGTTCTTTGGAAGTGAACTTCGCTCAATTTGAGTATAACATCGCTAGTAACAGAGTGAAAGCAGAATATAACGCATCGTATCGAAGTGGCCTATCGATAGGTAATTGTACCAAAATGGCAACCCTGTCACGATAATTTTGTCAAACAGCTGACATAGAGGGAACGACAGAAATCTGCTGGAACAGCGTAAACAACGCCGCTGCACGTGCCGCATATCATTGATATTCATATAATTTTGTTTGTGTTGCAACATGGCTAGTCGAATTGAGCTGCTTAGTGAGCAGGGCTTGCGCCTGGATGGTCGCCGGCCGCACGAACTGCGCCACATTAAGTGCAAATTGGGCGTCTTTGAACAACCCGATGGCAGCGCTTACATGGAACAGGGCAATACAAAAGTGCTGGCTGCCGTGTACGGACCACATCAAGCGAAGGGCAAAAAGACAGAGGGCAATGATCTGATTATCAACTGTCAATATAGTCAGGCGACGTTCTCAACATCAGAACGCAAAAATCGACCACGAGGCGATCGCAAATCGCAGGAATTCAAAATGTACCTGCAACAGGCTTTAAGTGCAGCAATCAAATCCGAGCTGTATCCACGCTCCCAGATCGACATCTATGTGGAGGTGCTGCAGGCGGATGGCGCCAACTATGCTGTATCCCTAAATGCCGCTACCCTGGCACTCATTGATGCGGGCATATGCCTAAACGAGTTCGTTGTTGCATGCACCGCATCTTTGAGCAAATCAAACATTCCGCTAACGGATATATCACACATAGAGGAGGTTTCTGGCGGTCCAAAACTGACCATTGCGGCACTACCCACAGCCGAGAAGATTGCATTCATGGAGATGAGCGAACGCTTTCACATTGATCAACTAGAGACGGTCATAGAGACCGCAATGGCCGGATGCCGAGAGATTCGCGACATACTGGAGTCGGCAGTCAAGGAGCACCTTATACACATTGGCAGTGCAGCAGACTGGGCACGTGTTTGTTAAAATAAAGCATTTTTATTAACTTTACTTATTATTAGACTAAAAGGCGGGAGGAATATGCGATTAGCTTTTATCTGACGCCTTCTGTGGCGGCTGCCACTCTTCGATCAATTCTACCAGCTTCAGTTTGCGCTGTTCCAAATGTAGCCGCTCAATTAGATCGCTTAGTGGCTGGCCTCCCTCGAGGAACCCGCTTAGATTGTGCTGAGTGCCGCCCTGCTGCACGCGATGATCCGTTACACGATCCTGCACAAAGTTATACGTGCGAATCTTTTCGTTGCGATTTAGATTTCCCTGTTGTGCCTTTCGCGTCGCCTGTTTGGTCGCCTCGGAGCTCTCCAGCTGCTGCTGCATAAGCTTGGCCTGCAGACGCTTCAGCGCCAGCTCCCGATTCTTGAGCTGGGAACGCTCTGACTGCGATTCAACAGCCAGGCCCGTAGGTAAATGCACAATGCGCACGGCTGAATCTGTGGTATTTACATGTTGGCCGCCAGCGCCGCTGGCACGTTTCGTCTCAATTTTCAGGTCTCGCTCCGCAATATGCACCTGAACATCAGCCGGCCGTGGTATCACTGTTATTGAGGCAGTGCTGGTATGCATACGTCCAGATTTCTCGGTGGCCGGCACACGTTGCACTCGGTGCACACCCGCCTCGTAGCGCAGCCAATTGTAGGCCTCGGGATCGTTGACCAGCAGATTGGCATACCGCAGTCCACCAATGTCGGTGGTCTCATGGGCATACTGCTCATACTCCCAGCCCATGTGCTCGAAGTAGCTGGTGTACATGTCGTAGAGCTCCTGGGCAAACAGCATGGCCTCCTGTCCGCCGGCTCCAGCGTTCACCTCAAATATCAGAGACGGGTAGTCCTCATGGTCGGCAAGTGCGAGCAGCTCCTGCAGCATTGCTTCCTCCTGTTTACGCAACAGTTCGGCATAAACGTTATTTTCCTCTAGCATCAGCGCACGCATATCCTCGTCCTTTTCAGCGGCCAAATCCTGCTCAGGTGTTATATTGCGCTGCAGGGCTCTGTGCTTTTCAAGAGAATTAACGACAGGATCCAGACGCGACAGGCGGGCATAAAGGCTGCTGTTACCGGCTGCATTGACGCGCAGCGCATAATATTCCTGGCGCAGTGATTCCAGGTATGCCTGCAGCTTCTCGTTCTGGAAACAAAGCGGATCTGTGCTGGCCCATCGCCGCAGTAAATGGTGAGAACGCGCCGTCAACAATTTCCGAAGCAACATTATTTTACAACAAATAAATATTAAGAAATCAAAACTTGGTTAAATAACTGCCCGATCGCTGATACGAATCAACATAACAGAGAGATGAACTGAAACGAAATAATCGATAGTATTTTACTCAACAGCTGTTCTGCTATGGCCATTGTGAATATGATACCGTTTTTTTTTTCTTTGTCAACTTTTTAATGTAAAGTTTATTATTTAACATTGTTTGCATTTTTTTCTTTTCTGACTTAACTTCTTAAATCATTGGTTGGATAATAAGATAAAAAGATAAAGATAAAACTGCATTACCAAATTTCAGTAGCCTTCTACCAACATAAGAGCGCGCGCTGTTAACTTTTCAGCAAATGTAATCTTTTTGGGTGCCCATAGATGTACATGTAGCTGTTTAGTGTTGAGTAAAACATTATTTATTGCTCACTCTGATGGGCTTGCTCACTCGAGAAACAGTTATTTTGTTAATTTGTTATATTAAGCCATATCAGTGCAATAAACAGTACTAACAAAGAACTTTAAACTAGGCACATCATTAGCAGCAATAACAATAACAACCTGTGAAACAAATATGTACAAGCTGCAAGCCCAGAAATTTTCAGCCTAACATTTATATATCTGTGGGTGTGCGTGTGATGTGTGCCTGTGTGTTGTGCTTGATTAATGAAAACAGTTGTGTTCGTAGTGGTGTAAACTGCAGCAATAGCAATTAAGTTTAATTAAATCATAAATTGGATGTGAAAAGGCTGCCAGAGTGCATTTAAATAAAGTCAGCAGAAGTCGTAGCAAAAGCATAACGAGATGCCACCGCTTAAGAGCTATTCCATGCACCACGAATTCAATGCAAATAATGCAAATTGTCACAACGGCAATGAGAACACCACCGATAACGATAACGATTACTTCAGTCAGCCTGCAGCATCTGCAGCTGCTGCCGCCGCCGCCAGCACACAACGCACAAATCTGCCCTCTTACTGCAATGCCCAGTACCCGTTTAAGGTGCTAGCCAATCTGAATCAGCTGCGGGAGCAATCGCGCTTTTGCGATGTCGAAATCGTAGCGGGCGAGTCCACCTTTAATGCACATCGCGCAGTTTTAAGCGCTTCCAGTGCCTACTTCGAGGCCATGTTCAGGCCCGAATTGGGGCTCAATGAAGTCAAACAGAAATCTGTGGTTTTGCACACAATTGATGGCGATATATTACACATACTGCTGGACTTTATATACACAGGACGCTGCGAGATTACGCAGGTAAGCAGCTAAGTTCTCTATTGTTTCTTAAATAATATTACTGCCTATGTCCTCTTTCAGTCCAATGTGCAGGAATTGCTTGCCGCTGCGGATATGCTACAGTTGAATGAAGTGGTCGACGGCTGCTGTGAGTTTCTGTGTCGAGAGTTGCATGCAACGAATGCATTGGGTATTTTACGGTTCGCGGAAGCGCACAATTGTGAATCACTGGCAAAAAGTGCGATGAACTTCGTGCAGGCCAACTTCCCAGCGGTAAATATCACCTTTTATATTTAAAAAAAAGTCAAACAAAAACCCGATGTTTCCGCCCGGGTTCGAACCGGGGACCTTGTGCGTGTGAAGCACACGTGATAACCACTACACTACGGAAACGATGAAATAAGTTGCGAAGCGTAACTTCCTAGACACGTTCGGCGTGTTTATTATTTATTGGGCTCGCGTTTATAAAATATATATTATGACAGCCATCTCCCGACTCCGCGGGATAGTTTTTGTTAGCTACTAAAAGGATCTCTTAAAAGCACATTTGATTTTTAACAATTAAACCTCGAACTCTCACTGAAATCTCAATTCCACGATATTAGAGATTTATTATGACCCAGCAGAAAACTGCTAGGCACAACTAAAAATTCAATTTAGACTCATTAGAGTGCTCCTCTCCACGGAAATCTTTAGTAAAAGGCGAAAGATTTATTCGACAACTGAAGAGAAGCCAGAGTAACTTTCGAGCCCAACTACCCTGATCCTAGTTTCAATGGTTGCTTAGACTGTTTGAGAATTATATGAGACATTGCATACAAGGACCCCTTAGAGTAGGCAACACAATAATTTAAACTGCATAATCCAGATAATATAATTCTCAAAAGGTTCTATCCTGGCGGTGGTGTACTATTACGAAATTAGCATTGTAAAGTTATCGCTTCTCGGCCTTATGGCTAAGATCAAAGTGTAGTATCTGTTCTTATCAGCTTAACATCTGATAGTTTCTCCATTGGAGAACAACAAATGTTAAACTGATTTTTGGAAATTGACGGAGTGCTAGGGGCTTGCTCCACCTCTGTCACGGGTTGGCCCGGTATTGCAGTACCGCCGGGATTTCGGCCCACTTTATTAATAAATAACATATTTGCGTGAATTAACTTGCCTAACTAGCTAATTATATTGAACATTTTCGGTGTGTCGCCCGCAGATAACTCTAGAAGATGAGTTTCTGGAAACACCACAGACTTTATTATCGCAACTGCTTAACTCGGAATTGTTGCGCGTTGACTCCGAATCACAGGTGTTCCAAGCGGCGCTTCGCTGGATAAAGCATGATGTAACGCAACGTCGGTGCTATGTCTTCGATATACTGTCGCATGTCCGTATGGCCTTGGTGCCGGTTAAGGTCATCGATAAGGCTTTAAAGGATGATTGTCGCGATATGTCTGTAAAAATCGCGTTGCGAAGCATTTGCCGAGATATTGCTTCAAAGCGCGGCCAACTGGTGCCGCTGCGCGTCTGTCCACGTCAGCTGGCCAAGAAGAATATATATATTATTGGAGGATCACATCGCGATACGCCGCGCACTTGGAACTCTGCGGACTGCACATTCGAAACAGTGGCCAAGTTCGACATATTCCGTCGTGAATGGACTGAGACGGCACCCATGGAGGTGGGCCGCATTCTGCCGGGCGTATCCGCACTAAATGGCAAGATCTATGTGGTGGGCGGCGAACGTGGTTCACAAATCCTGGCCAACGGCGAGGTATACGATCCACAAAACGATATTTGGCAGCCTATAGCACCGATGATTGTGCCCCGTTGTGAGTTCGGATTGTGCACCATGGGTGGCAATCTGTTTGCAGTTGGCGGCTGGATAGGCGACGACATTGGCGGAACCATGGAGTGCTATGATCCAGAGAAGGATCTCTGGAAACTGATCGGTAGCATGCCTCAGCCACGCTTCAGCATGGGTGTCGTCAGTTTCGAAGGGCTGATCTACATAGTGGGCGGCTGCACTACGACCACAAGACATTTACCGGACTTAATAAGGTAATGCTCCATTCACGACTGTTCCCAGCTTATAGCATGGTAATGATTTTTTCTTCATATCAGCTACAATCCCGTGACCAAGGAATGGACGCAATTGGCACGCATGCAAACAGCACGTTGCCAAATGGGCGTCGCTGTGCTCGATCGCTATTTGTATGTGGTTGGCGGCAGCAGCATCAGCCAGGATATACTTAGCTCAGTGGAGCGCTATAACTTTGACGACGACAAATGGTCGACGGTGTGCGCACTGAACGTTCCACGCGCCATTCCCGCTGTGGCCGCCGCCGATGGCCTGCTTTATGTGGCTGGCGGGGATCAGGTTAGTCAGATTGTAACATTGCAGAATATCTGAAGATATCTAATTTATATTTATCTTTCTGTTGACAGCCCTGCGAGGTGAACTTCTATCGCGCCCAGGTAACCATAAGCGCCGTTGAATGCTATGATCCACTTTCGGACACCTGGAAGAATTGTCCAGACTTGCCGGTTAGCCGTTCCGAAGCAGGCGCTGTGGTTGTGTAAAAGTCCAACAACACTCTCACGATCTTACGATCTTGTTTTAAGCACATCTAATATGCCCGACATAAACTCTCACACACATTTGCTTGTGTGGTACAACACTCTAGTTACAACCATTACAACTATTTTCCATTTGAAAGTTGAACGTAGCGCTCTCTAACCAAGCCTCGACGCTCTGTGCGATTAATGTTTTCGAAACGTAGCTCAGCTATTCCTACCCAGTTTAGTATTATCTAGAACTTAGTCTGGAATGTAACAGTAACAATAGCCAGCATCTGTTTGCTCCGTAGTAAAAGTTGTCCTTTATAAAAGCGAAAACCAAAATTGACATGGAAAAAGTATATCGATCTATCGTAATTGCTGAAAATCGTTCATCTTAGACCTATTGTTGATGTTTATGTTAATCGATCAATCATTCAAATACATCAAGTCAGAGAGATTGCCAGCATTGTAGGTGCGTTCTTAAAAAGCGCGTGACCGAATACGAATAACTGTATGATTAAAATGTACCAAAAACTAAAAGCAAACATTCAAAAAGAAACAAACTGTATTAATAATAGGTGTATTTACGAAAAATAAACGTACGACTAAAATCACAAATTAGACAGACTACTGTACCAGTTACTTTGAAATACGCGATTCAAAAAGCCGGGGGCTAAAATATTCGTCTCATATCGCGATCTAGATCCGATCAAGCCGTTTCCTGCGTGCAACAGTAAGAAGGCAAGGAAGAGAGAGACGACATGGATGCTAAGAGTATTAAAACAAAAATAATTAATTTAATGGGGTCGGTGGTGCCACAGTGCGTAAATTAAGAGCTTCCCGAGTACAGGAAAGATCCATTTGAAACGCCAGAGTTAAACGTCTTTAAAGTCAAATTGACTCCCTCAGATTTATTAGTTGATTGGGCCGAAATCCCGGCGGTACTGCAATACCGGGCCAACCCGCGACAGAGGTGGAGCAAGCCCCTAGCACTCCGTCAATTTCCAAAAATCAGTTTAACATTTGTTGTTCTCCAATGGAGAAACTATCAGATGTTAAGCTGATAAGAACAGATACTACACTTTGATCTTAGCCATAAGGCCGAGAAGCGATAACTTTACAATGGTAATCTCGTAATAGTACACCACCACCAAGATAGAACCTCTTGAGAATTATAAGAATAACAAATGAAATATACATCCAGTGTTGTAAAAGACGCTCGAAAAATACTGCGAGATACAGCTCTGTGGGCATAGTGCTGTACAACAAGACGAACAGTGCTCTAATTCGAATGACCGCGCACACATAAATTTGAAATTTGAAATGTGGCAAGGGATGTTTAGTTATGTAAAATGTATGACATAAATTATTATTTTTATCAAAAAGTATAATGTGAATGTTACAAAATTTTGTTTCGTATCAAGATTATGTTACCTAATTAACAGCATACAATGCAACCGAACAGCTCGTCCAATGAAGTTACCGATGGCCTGGACACCGAATCCTTGCCGGGGAACAGCGCCAACAATCGTCGCCAACGTCGTCGGCAAGAGAAACGCCAAAGACAGTTGAAGGAAAAAACACATTTGCTGTATACCAAACATTTTTCGAATTTTCGTCTACCGGTGTCTGTGCCCTCTACAGATCTGAAGATGGTGCAGCTAAGTCGCTATGAATCCATTGTTGATCGCGAACGGCATCCTCCACTCTTTGTGGTACCTGATCAGAAATCTCAATGGGCGCGTCTGAGAATGATTTCATGTCCATGTCATGGCTGCTCCTGTACCTTAGATCCAAATGGCTGGTTGTCTCACTATCTAAGTGTCCACATGCCTAGATTGGGCGTCCCATTTGTGGATGTGCCGTTTCCTATTGAAAAGCAAACACTCCATGCCACCTGCAATGTGGGTAGTCTTGATTATGATGTCAACACTTTGTTGGGTGTGTTTGGCTATCAGCGCTTTGGGCTCAATCCGCTCAATTGTCCGCGCAATACGCTGCTGCCAAGGGACTACCGCAAGTATTCCCAGCATGGAGTTATATTGCTTTTTGCCTGCCGTACGCGACATGGATTGCTTTGGCAACGCAAGCAAATCGATGATGTTGTTGCCATTTGGGTCTCGACGCCGCTCCAGGGTATATCCATATCGTTGCGCTGTGTTGCACATCCCGCTCAAACAACACGTTACTATCCCAAGCTTTTACACGCGCGCCCACTGCCGGCTTCATCAGTGAAAGCTCCACCATGCCGTGAGTTCATTAAGACGGACAGCAACGTTATTGTAATCAGCTATCAAGATTTATGGCAGCTACTGACACTAAATGTGGGACAGCAGCTACTCAATGTGGAGCTGCACCTAACGGGCGAGCAAAAAATCTGATATTGGTTGATATAGCTTGAGGCAAATATACGAAAGTCGCATTTAGGCTATAAATAATTTTTATTGTTTTTATTTTTTTGGCAATAGTATTAATTATATTTTCTTTAACAAACTAAACATGACAATGATTTAAACTAAGAAATTTACACTTAACAGCAAACACAATGCTGGAGATTACGCTCGATAACGCATTAAAATGAATAGGCAATCATCCACACATACATTTTCACAATTCTAACTTAATATATTTCGTACAATTTTGTGGAGTTCGCACTCGTTACGCTTAAAAAATATAAAAGGAATTTACAAATTTTGAGCCTACATATAATTTAGATTTGATAAGCTACTATAAAATAGTGTATGTGTATTTAAACTTATAAATATATAGCGCTATATATATATAAGTTTGCATACAACTGTGTGTGTGGGTGTGGATATGTGTGTATGAAGGGGCATGCAATATTCGGCCCGCAGCAATTATAATTGCTTAACGCAGCACAAAACAAAACGAAATTCAAAAGAATCCACAACGATAAAACGAAACATTCTAAACAAAAGAGGTGGCAACTAAAAACATTGTCTATTATTAAAAAGCGGAAGCTAGCCCGCCTTTTGCGTTTGCTTTTGTCGCTGGAGTGCCTCGAACGCTTCGATTTCCTTCTTTTCTTTGGCTTGATTTCGACGCTCGTATTCCAGTCGATGCGATATGATGCGCTCAACAATGCGCTCTGTGGTCATGTCATTGCCAGAGTCGAGTAGCTCAAATATGGCTCGCGTCTTGGGCACAGCATACGGATCAATTTTGCCATCCTCGAGAGAGATTGGCGTGCGCCCGTGGCAGACAACATCAATCTTGAAATGATCCAGCAGCTCTTCTGTGACACAGTAGGGTGCGCCAATGACTACCTCGTTGACAAACTGCAGAGTGTAAGAGGTTGTTAGTTATTCATTTAATTGTCTGCGATAAGTATGTAGGGATTTACCTTGCAGGCCAAGACGCTAAGCACACGCTCGTGCAGATTCATAATGGGATAATTGCTACCCTTATAAGAGTTGACAACGGGATCAGTGTGCAGGCCTACAATCAAATAGTCGCCCAATTTGCTGGCCTTTTCCAGGAAATCCAAATGACCCACGTGGAAGAGATCAAAAGCACCGGCCACATACACCTGTAAAAAAAAATGTCGTGAAATTCATTTTTCAATTGATATATTGTATTATATTTACAATCTTATCGCCTGGATTTGGAGATTTGCCATCGCTGAACTGTATAATTTTCTGTGTTGTGGGCAAAAACTGGCTGCAACCGGTCCAGGGACTCTTCGCTGTCGAATCCTGACCCATATTCGATGAACCTAAACGGGATTGCAGTTGTTGAATTTTTAAAAGTTTTTCTGTTTCAATTTTTTAAAATTATCAAATTTGTTGTTTGATTTTTTGTTTTTTTTTTTTAACAACGGATACATATGAACATTACATTACAATTTACAATTAGGTTTTGATTTGATATTTCATTTTGATGTCGGTTGATTGGTGGTTTATTTTATTTAATTTTTTTTTTTTTTTTTTTTTTTTGGGTATTCATTTTAGTTTGAACGCGGGGCGGCAACACGCACGGGATTTTGAGATTTTAGTTCATAGGTTTTGATTTTGATTTGAGTTTGGTTAGTGGTAAACAGTGCGCACATAGAAATAAAAAAGAAGAGAAATAGTAAAGATGTAGAGAGCAAAAAAAAGCAAATGTTTTGTTACGTTCAAAGAATGCTACGGACACTATTCGCCAGATTCTAATAGGAAATTAATCAAACAACTAAAAGCAAAACGTGCGTGGCCCTAGACTCGTAGTATTATTTATAAATATATATCTAAACATTAAGAAGTTAAACTTTGATTCTGTCCTCATACTTGGAACTTTTTTCGAGGTTTGATGTGGTGTGCGGTGTTAGATCAGCATGCAGAAGAGATATTAAGAAACGAGTTTCAAAAGCAAAGCAAACAATTAATTCAGGTTAGTGAAAGTAATTATTTTAAAATGAGTAGCAACTGGCAGATGAGATGTACGCACTTAAAATAAAGCAACGTTAAATATAAACAGTACGTAAGAAGCGGACGCTACCTTCTTTCTCGATGTCGTACTCGGCGGAGCCCTGACGGAAGTGGTTGCGGGTAAGCAGCAACATGCGTCCCACGAGATCTGTCGTTGAAACTCCGGCGGTGCGCTTGACTTCCCTGTAGGGCAGACAGACAAAATGTTATATAAAAAGACACTTGGCTGTAAAGGATATAGAGAGGGTCACTTACTTGTAACGGTTAGCCGACTTCACCAGATGATAGGTATCCACACCCTCAGCGGTCATGGTTATGTCATCTGTAAATGATTTGGGGGCTGTTAATGTTGATCAAATCTCGAGTAAGACGAATGGCAAACTTACCGCCATGCACACAAAAATCACAATTATTTTGATCGAGTACTTCTAGGGTGGTGACATAGGGCGCACCAAGAACCACCTCGTCGACCCATTTAATGCCTTTGACCATTTTGACGCGCTCCTCCTCGGTAAAGACGGGTGGTCCCTTATGTTTGGTGATCTCCTCATCGGTATGTATGCCCACAATTACTTTATCGCCAAGTGCTTTGGCTTGTCGCAGTGAATTGGCATGCCCAAAGTGCACCATGTCGTAGCTGTTTCAAACAAAGAGCAAAGATTTATTTAATGAATATTCCAAGAATTGCGTAAGTGCCATATGTACAAGTTGTATCTTACTTCCGCCTTAAGTAAACAAATCTTCCGATTGCATTTTCTAATCAAACAGAACGGAAAAGAGATAGCGAGAAACACAGCGTACATGAAACAATGAATTGTTAGACCTTATCGAGACTATCCAATTAGCAAAGCGCGCGTGCCAGTTTAGACAAGTCCTACAGTTTAGACAAGTCCTCCTGGCCAAGAAGAATATATATATTATTGGAGGATCACATCGCGATACGCCGCGCACTTGGAACTCTGCGGACTGCACATTCGAAACAGTGGCCAAGTTCGACATATTCCGTCGTGAATGGACTGAGACGGCACCCATGGAGGTGGGCCGCATTCTGCCGGGCGTATCCGCACTAAATGGCAAGATCTATGTGGTAGGCGGCGAACGTGGTTCACAAATCCTGGCCAACGGCGAGGTATACGATCCACAAAACGATATTTGGCAGCCTATAGCACCGATGATTGTGCCCCGTTGTGAGTTCGGATTGTGCACCATGGGTGGCAATCTGTTTGCAGTGGGCGGCTGGATAGGCGACGACATTGGCGGAACCATGGAGTGCTATGATCCAGAGAAGGATCTCTGGAAACTGATCGGTAGCATGCCTCAGCCACGCTTCAGCATGGGTGTCGTCAGTTTCGAAGGGCTGATCTACATAGTGGGCGGCTGCACTACGACCACAAGACATTTACCGGATTTAATAAGGTAATGCTCCATTCACGACTGTTCCCAGCTTATAGCATGGTAATGATTTTTTCTTCATATCAGCTACAATCCCGTTACCAAGGAATGGACGCAATTGGCACGCATGCAAACAGCACGTTGCCAAATGGGCGTCGCTGTGCTCGATCGCTATTTGTATGTGGTTGGCGGCAGTAGCATCAGCCAGGATATACTTAGCTCAGTGGAGCGCTATAACTTTGACGACGACAAATGGTCGACGGTGTGCGCACTGAACGTTCCACGCGCCATTCCCGCTGTGGCCGCCGCCGATGGCCTGCTTTATGTGGCTGGCGGGGATCAGGTTAGTCAGATTGTAACATTGCAGAATATCTGAAGATATCTAATTTATATATATCTTTCTGTTGACAGCCCTGCGAGGTGAACTTCTATCGCGCTCAGGTAACCATAAGCGCCGTTGAATGCTATGATCCACTTTCGGACACCTGGAAGAATTGTCCTGACTTGCCGGTTAGCCGCTCCGAAGCAGGCGCTGTGGTTGTGTAAAAGTCCAACAACACTCTCACATCTTACGATCTTGTTTTAAGCACATCTAAAATGCCCGACATAAACTCTCACACACATTTGCTTGTGTGGTACAACACGCTAGTTACAACCATTACAACTATTTTCCATTTAAAAGTTGAACGTAGCGCTCTTTAACCAAGGCTCGACGCTCTGTGCGATTAATGTTTTCGAAATGTAGCTCAGCTATTCCTACCCAGTTTAGTATTATCTAGAACTTAGTCTGGAATGTAACAGTAACAATAGCCAGCATCTGTTTGCTCCGTAGTAAAAGTTGTCCTTTATAAAAGCGAAAACCAAAATTGACATGGAAAAAGTATATCGATCTATCGTAATTGCTGAAAATTGTTCATCTTAGACTTATTGATGTTTATGTTAATCGATCAATCATTCAAATACATCAAGTCAGAGATTGCCAGCATTGTAGGTGCGTTCTTAAAAAGCGCGTGCCCGAATACGAATAACTGTATGATTAAAATGTACCAAAAACTAAAAGCAAACATTCAAAAAGAAACAAACTGTATTAATAATAGGTGTATTTACGAAAAATAAACGTACGACTAAAATCACAATATAGACTACTGTACCAGTTAGTTTGAAATACGCGATTCAAAAAGCCGGGGGCTAAAATATTCGTCTCATATCGCGATCTAGCCGTTTCCTGCGTGCAACAGTAAGAAGGCAAGGAAGGAAGAGAGAGACGACATGGATGCTAAGAGTATTAAAACAAAAATAATTAATTTAATGAGGTCGGTAGTGCCACAGTACGTAGATTAAAGAGAACAAGCTTCCCGAGTACAGGCGAGATCCATTTGAAACGCCACAGCTTAACGTCATATTAACTCACTACGATTTATCGGTTAATTGGGCCGAAATCCCGGCGGTACTGCAATACCTGGCCAACCCGCGACAGAGGTGGAGCAAGCCCCTAGCACTCCGTCAATTTCCAAAAATCAGTTTAACATTTGTTGTTCTCCAATGGAGAAACTATCAGATGTTAAGCTGATAAGAACAGATACTACACTTTGATCTTAGCCATAAGGCCGAGAAGCGATAACGTTACAATAGTAATCTCGTAATAGTACACCACCGCCAAGATAGAACCTCTTGAGAATTATAAGAATTACAAATGAAATATACATCCAGTGTTGTAAAAGACGCTCGAAAAATACTGCGAGATACAGCTCTGTGGGCATAGTGCTGTACAACAAAACGAACAGTGCTCTAATTCGAATGATATAGTTTGACCGCGCACACATAAATTTGAAATTTGAAATGTGGCAAGGGATGTTTAGTTATGTAAAATGTATGACATAAATTATTATTTTTATCAAAAAGTATAATGTGAATGTTACAAAATTTTGTTTCGTATCAAGATTATGTTACCTAATTAACAGCATACAATGCAACCGAACAGCTCGTCCAATGAAGTTACCGATGGCCTGGACACCGAATCCTTGCCGGGGAACAGCGCCAACAATCGTCGCCAACGTCGTCGGCAAGAGAAACGCCAAAGACAGTTGAAGGAAAAAACACATTTGCTGTATACCAAACATTTTTCGAATTTTCGTCTACCGGTGTCTGTGCCCTCTACAGATCTGAAGATGGTGCAGCTAAGTCGCTATGAATCCATTGTTGATCGCGAACGGCATCCTCCACTCTTTGTGGTACCTGATCAGAAATCTCAATGGGCGCGTCTGAGAATGATTTCATGTCCATGTCATGGCTGCTCCTGTACCTTAGATCCAAATGGCTGGTTGTCTCACTATCTAAGTGTCCACATGCCTAGATTGGGCGTCCCATTTGTGGATGTGCCGTTTCCTATTGAAAAGCAAACACTCCATGCCACCTGCAATGTGGGTAGTCTTGATTATGATGTCAACACTTTGTTGGGTGTGTTTGGCTATCAGCGCTTTGGGCTCAATCCGCTCAATTGTCCGCGCAATACGCTGCTGCCAAGGGACTACCGCAAGTATTCCCAGCATGGAGTTATATTGCTTTTTGCCTGCCGTACGCGACATGGATTGCTTTGGCAACGCAAGCAAATCGATGATGTTGTTGCCATTTGGGTCTCGACGCCGCTCCAGGGTATATCCATATCGTTGCGCTGTGTTGTACATCCCGCTCAAACAACACGTTACTATCCCAAGCTTTTACACGCGCGCCCACTGCCGGCTTCATCAGTGAAAGCTCCACCATGCCGTGAGTTCATTAAGACGGACAGCAACGTTATTGTAATCAGCTATCAAGATTTATGGCAGCTACTGACACTAAATGTGGGACAGCAGCTACTCAATGTGGAGCTGCACCTAACGGGCGAGCAAAAAATCTGATATTGGTTGATATAGCTTGAGGCAAATATACGAAAGTCGCATTTAGGCTATAAATAATTTTTATTGTTTTTATTTTTTTGGCAATAGTATTAATTATATTTTCTTTAACAAACTAAACATGACAATGATTTAAACTAAGAAATTTACACTTAACAGCAAACACAATGCTGGAGATTACGCTCGATAACGCATTAAAATGAATAGGCAATCATCCACACATACATTTTCACAATTCTAACTTAATATATTTCGTACAATTTTGTGGAGTTCGCACTCGTTACGCTTAAAAAATATAAAAGGAATTTACAAATTTTGAGCCTACATATAATTTAGATTTGATAAGCTACTATAAAATAGTGTATGTGTATTTAAACTTATAAATATATAGCGCTATATATATATAAGTTTGCATACAACTGTGTGTGGGTGTGGATATGTGTGTATGAAGGGGCATGCAATATTCGGCCCGCAGCAATTATAATTGCTTAACGCAACACAAAACAAAACGAAATTCAAAAGAATCCACAACGATAAAACGAAACATTCTAAACAAAAGAGGTGGCAACTAAAAACATTGTCTATTATTAAAAAGCGGAAGCTAGCCCGCCTTTTGCGTTTGCTTTTGTCGCTGGAGTGCCTCGAACGCTTCGATTTCCTTCTTTTCTTTGGCTTGATTTCGACGCTCGTATTCCAGTCGATGCGATATGATGCGCTCAACAATGCGCTCTGTGGTCATGTCATTGCCAGAGTCGAGTAGCTCAAATATGGCTCGCGTCTTGGGCACAGCATACGGATCAATTTTGCCATCCTCGAGAGAGATTGGCGTGCGCCCGTGGCAGACAACATCAATCTTGAAATGATCCAGCAGCTCTTCTGTGACACAGTAGGGTGCGCCAATGACTACCTCGTTGACAAACTGCAGAGTGTAAGAGGTTGTTAGTTATTCATTTAATTGTCTGCGATAAGTATGTAGGGATTTACCTTGCAGGCCAAGACGCTAAGCACACGCTCGTGCAGATTCATAATGGGATAATTGCTACCCTTATAAGAGTTGACAACGGGATCAGTGTGCAGGCCTACAATCAAATAGTCGCCCAATTTGCTGGCCTTTTCCAGGAAATCCAAATGACCCACGTGGAAGAGATCAAAAGCACCGGCCACATACACCTGTAAAAAAAAAATGTCGTGAAATTCATTTTTCAATTGATATATTGTATTATATTTACAATCTTATCGCCTGGATTTGGAGATTTGCCATCGCTAAACTGTATAATTTTCTGTGTTGTGGGCAAAAACTGGCTGCAACCGGTCCAGGGACTCTTCGCTGTCGAATCCTGACCCATATTCGATGAACCTAAACGGGATTGCAGTTGTTGAATTTTTAAAAGTTTTTCTGTTTCAATTTTTTAAAATTATCAAATTTGTTGTTTGATTTTTTGTTTTTTTTTTTTTTAACAACGGATACATATGAACATTACATTACAATTTACAATTAGGTTTTGATTTGATATTTCATTTTGATGTCGGTTGATTGGTGGTTTATTTTATTTAATTTTTTTTTTTTTTTTTTTTTTTTGGGTATTCATTTTAGTTTGAACGCGGGGCGGCAACACGCACGGGATTTTGAGATTTTAGTTCATAGGTTTTGATTTTGATTTGAGTTTGGTTAGTGGTAAACAGTGCGCACATAGAAATAAAAAAGAAGAGAAATAGTAAAGATGTAGAGAGCAAAAAAAAGCAAATGTTTTGTTACGTTCAAAGAATGCTACGGACACTATTCGCCAGATTCTAATAGGAAATTAATCAAACAACTAAAAGCAAAACGTGCGTGGCCCTAGACTCGTAGTATTATTTATAAATATATATCTAAACATTAAGAAGTTAAACTTTGATTCTGTCCTCATACTTGGAACTTTTTTCGAGGTTTGATGTGGTGTGCGGTGTTAGATCAGCATGCAGAAGAGATATTAAGAAACGAGTTTCAAAAGCAAAGCAAACAATTAATTCAGGTTAGTGAAAGTAATTATTTTAAAATGAGTAGCAACTGGCAGATGAGATGTACGCACTTAAAATAAAGCAACGTTAAATATAAACAGTACGTAAGAAGCGGACGCTACCTTCTTTCTCGATGTCGTACTCGGCGGAGCCCTGACGGAAGTGGTTGCGGGTAAGCAGCAACATGCGTCCCACGAGATCTGTCGTTGAAACTCCGGCGGTGCGCTTGACTTCCCTGTAGGGCAGACAGACAAAATGTTATATAAAAAGACACTTGGCTGTAAAGGATATAGAGAGGGTCACTTACTTGTAACGGTTAGCCGACTTCACCAGATGATAGGTATCCACACCCTCAGCGGTCATGGTTATGTCATCTGTAAATGATTTGGGGGCTGTTAATGTTGATCAAATCTCGAGTAAGACGAATGGCAAACTTACCGCCATGCACACAAAAATCACAATTATTTTGATCGAGTACTTCTAGGGTGGTGACATAGGGCGCACCAAGAACCACCTCGTCGACCCATTTAATGCCTTTGACCATTTTGACGCGCTCCTCCTCGGTAAAGACGGGTGGTCCCTTATGTTTGGTGATCTCCTCATCGGTATGTATGCCCACAATTACTTTATCGCCAAGTGCTTTGGCTTGTCGCAGTGAATTGGCATGCCCAAAGTGCACCATGTCGTAGCTGTTTCAAACAAAGAGCAAAGATTTATTTAATGAATATTCCAAGAATTGCGTAAGTGCCATATGTACAAGTTGTATCTTACTTCCGCCTTAAGTAAACAAATCTTCCGATTGCATTTTCTAATCAAACAGAACGGAAAAGAGATAGCGAGAAACACAGCGTACATGAAACAATGAATTGTTAGACCTTATCGAGACTATCCAATTAGCAAAGCGCGCGTGCCAGTTTAGACAAGTCCTACAGAAGGGTGAACATTTAAAGAGAGGCCTATAAAATTGTTTTATTTTACAGAACTGCTGAAAAATATAATAGCCGTTCAACAAATATAAGTATCAAAGCTAGCCAATACTATTTGCATGACAATATGGTTTAAGCTGAAGTTTCCAGTGAACTGAAACGACCTTGCTATATATAAAACATGGCGCTGATTCATTATCGCTTGGCTCGCAAAGTTTCCATTCACAGAGAGCCCCAGAGTAGTCGGGGGTTCAAATAACTCACGACAATACAGAAATTGATGAGAATTTGTTGACAGAACGGAAATTCAATCAGGGCGCGTGTGACTTTTGACATATAACCAGAAAAAGTGCCACATCAATATAGGAACGTCTAGCAATTAACTGTTGGAAGTTTAGCAAAAATATTTTACGTTAAAAAAAAAAAAACAATATCTATATGTTCTGGACAGGCAATACAGACAGTACATTCACAATTGCCGCAAGGCATTTAAATCAAGCAAAATAAAACCAACTCGCATACACTTGACACAACTTGCTCAAAGTTCGGATAAGTCAACGTCTGGCCAAGCACAGAGAGTCCCTCCTCAAGACGGACGCCGCTTGCTCCACTTTTTCTTTCTTCTTTCTAGAGCGGTCGCACTTTGGACGCGATCATCAGTTGCGAATTGCCACACACAGACAACACGAATACGAGAGAAATACTTGGGTATGGGGCATATTTTTCATTTCATTGATTTCTGTTGTGCGCCTGCCTTTATATGTAATATTTTGTATGTCTATGGAATGCTGGAACCCAAGCGCAATTCTAATCAACGCGCGACACGCTTTAGCCAAATGCTCTGGACGTGCCGAGCCAAGCAAATTGCATTTTATGCCATTTTTGTTGAGCTGACAAATAACTTACGAAATGCATTTGTGTAATTATTGGTGGCTTTTTATTGTCATTAATTAAATACAATTTAAATGCCAAGCCGAGAAGGGAATGTCCGCCAACTGTTCAGGGAAAGCTCTTCTAATTTCTGCCCCCATTTATGGATATCTTGACCAGCCGTCTCGACGGGTAGTATGTTGTACACTACAATTTTTGGGTATCAAAAAAATAGCTACACTGTTTACCATTGCTTTAACAATTGCCAAGAATCGTTGTAGATAACATGTTATAATCAATTGGACGAGGCCGCACGTTGTCGAACAGTTAATTAATGCTGATACAAGAAAATCAGACCGCGCATTTAAACCAACTAAGCCAAAAAGAATGAACACATATTAATGTCACCCACACTCTGCCAGACGACAACGACAATCGGATTCCAGGCAATTGCCATTAAAGCATTCATGATAGCAGGCCAAAACGTCATTCTTATCAAACCGGCAGATTGGCTAGCGCACGAACGACTGGGCCACGACAATTAGTAATGCACACGTAATAACATTTAATACAAAGCTACGTTCATGTATGTATATATATATATATATATATAATATAGAACCAGGCAAAACCCAAAATAAAGCTATTCAATTGACCAGTCTGGGTAATCAACGTGACGTCATTCAATTGGCATCACAAGCGCCAAAGAAATCCAATCCAAGAAATTCTATTGCAGACGGGTCTATCAACTATCTGTATCTGGGTGGCCAGCAGAAGTTGGGCCATTCATTAAGACGACAATGGAAACCAACCCGGGCACACCTTTGATCCCGGAGATTTTGCGACAGCCAAGAAATCTGTGTCGAACATAAAATATATATATATATATATATGTATACGCATGTGTAGGATCAAGTACATCACAGAACGTACTGGGGCCTTAATCAATTGAGTTACGCCGACTTTTGTTGATTAAGAAAATATCACGCGATTCAGAGTAGAATTTGCGCTCTCGCGATAACTGAAGCCCAGCGATAGCAACAAAGCTTTACTACTTGTATATAACATATATATAATTATAAATATAGTACATTCAGGGAGGCGGTGTTAGCTGTCCCAAGGGGTTTAGATTTGTTTTGAAAACGAGATCTTGGGCCCAAGTTCATTGACACAGCCACATCATGCTGCCCCAGCACACAACGTTTGCGTCAATGATCTTTGCTATCGATGAGAAATAGACTTCATTTCCAGAGGCTAAAGGGCCAAACCACATACATACATACATATTCTCATATGTACAGAGTACATTTGTTTATGGGATGCCACAGCTGGTGCCGACAAAAAAATGCTGAATGGATTTTGTGTGATTCTGTGATTGTAGCACGGCATCTACTCTTATCAGCGCGTAGCTATCCGCACGGGTACTGCCCATTGACCCTACATCTGCATGGGGCTTCTATTCTCGTACTAATCGCTAAATTACACCCGGAAATTAGTATATTCTTTAATTAGGAATCATTTAATTTTCTATGCTCTTTGTTTTAGTTCTTTCTCAGTCTAAACAAACCTTTGAAGCAAAGATTTCCTTTCATAAATACAGTCTACCCTACTTTTTATACCTGTTAACGGGTATTTTCTTATTGTAGTATTTACATAGTTTATATGATACTTATAGAGATAGTTGCATATAATCAATTTATAACCATTCTAAATTCATATTTTGACGTTGTTAATTGAACAATTTTATAAGTTTGTACTCTCCCTTTCCTTTTATATATGACTGTATAACAGGCTGATTTGCCTATATAATATTCCGCTAGTCATTTGCAATGCGTCGCTTTGGTTTCTGACCTTCAGTGCAAAGCAAAATGTCAATTTAATTATGCAAATGCACACGATAAGAAGAAGAAGAAAACCATATCAAATTGAGAATGCTGAACTAGGATATATCCTGTAACTGGTTCAAATCGCCATAATACAGATTTATTCTTTCAATTGTTTTCGAATTATTTATGTTTCCATGTTTATTTAAAATATGCTTTATGTTGCCTATTTGTTTATTTGTCTCTGCTTCTCTATTTCACATGCTTCACGCTGTTTAAAAGAATATTCAACCTTCTGTTTTCGTAGAGGTGCAGGTACATCGACAATGACGTCGTCAGTTTACAAGTTGGGTCAATGGCGCGTCCGGTAAAACAAAACTAGGCCGCCTCCCTGCTGGGGAGCATGCGCGTCAATGAATCACGTGATGTTTGGGCAGACACCGACCGGCCCACAGTCAACAACGGCCACGTAAACCATGCCCAGAGCCGAAACGTGCGAGAAGTGAGCATAGAAAACAGCCGAGGGCGGTGGGGAATGTCGCTATGCTGCTGCCACAGCTGTACAGAGCATTGTGTACATACAGAGAATCACGCGATGCTGTTCGCTTGGGCGTGTGCATCTCTTTTTAGAGACGCGTCGAGAAGTAGAGAGAGAGCGAAAGAGAGAGATAGAAGCAACAAACATGAGAAAGCAATTGCGGAAGTCTTTTGAGATTGAAATTTGTGTACATACATACATACATACATAAGTGTATGTACAAACATACATTACATAAATTCATTTGTACGTATGTATGTCCCCATATATGTTGCATATCGAAGTGAATCAATATTGTCTAGCCTAATCTGCTACTTAACCGGTCAAACAGGCTGCGTAGAGAATCTAATTATGGTAATCAAGCTTATAGTGCTGTATAATTAGATAAATTATTGTCTGTCGGATCGATCATTTGCAACACTGCGTTGTGTTTGTATACATATGTATGTACGTAAGTATTAACGATTCACAGTAATGAGCAAATCAGATTTCGCTTTTAGTTACGACCTTGAACCTGAACAAATATTAATGACTAGCTAAACTATATTTGGACGAACTACATATATGCACACACACACACACAATTCGTAGAATTCGTACGAAAAGCCTACTGTCTCTGGCAGGAGTGATGAAATCAAAATGCTATTAGATTAGAAAATGAATAGAACCTACAAACATATCTGGCCAACTTCAATGTCAATAGATATTATAAATGTATGGATGCACACACACACAGTTATGAGCATACATTTGGACTTCAATAAACTGACTCACCAGCCATCGCACCATACGCGTACTTCCTTTCTTGTACCGTTGCATTTGTTGCTGGCATCGCCGTTGCCGTTGCAAGTACCGTTCACTAATTTGTCACTCATTATTGAAATTTTTTAATTTTTCTTTATACTCGAGATTGTCCTAAACAAGAATCACAAATTACGCATATACATATATATACTTATATATATATATATGCGGATTTTTATATACACTGAGAATACCGATTTAAAAGCACATTGATTATTATACGAAAAACAGAGGCGACGTGCACACTTTGAGCGCCAAGTGTTGTTTGTGCCGAGTCTTGTGAACGTTTGATATTTTTATTTCGACAGTCCCGGAGCAGCTACTTAGTTTTTGTTTTGCTTATCAGCGCGCGAACACTTCGAAGTTTTTCTAGTGTGTGTAATTTTAATGTTCTAGTCGCTCTACAAATGTGTTGCTCAATTTACGTTCCCTTAAACTAAAACTAACAGCTGACTGCCAGTGTGACCGGACCTGTGAATGCGATAAAATACTAAAACAACCATTCGAAAGAAATATTTCCATGCCAATTGAATACTTATGGCTAATCAGCAAAATTTTTAAGATTCTTCTTAGTACGAATTCATTATTATATCGAAATATATCCATATATATATATATATATATATATCTTATTAAATCAAGTCGACAAGAACACACTTGTCTTTAGGACAGTGCAAAAATACATACAATACCTCGATAAAGGGCGGCGCATAAACGATACCAATGCTTCTTCTTCACATACCGACAAGTGCCGCGATTTGTTGCTCCCAAAGAAATTTGTTTTTCGTGTGTTCTTAAAAAGTGAAATAAAGTAAAGTCTAGAAGAAAATGCGTGCGTACGCAATACGATTAACAAGCAAACACTGCTGCGTAAATCATGTCAGATTTGATTTCGGCATTGTTTAGTAGACAAACTCGAGATATTGACTTATTTTATTTAAATTTCACGTGCTAAATTCCGAAAAGTAATAATTTAACAATTTGTCTGAAACTTTTTCATTAAACGCTGCATCCTGAGCTAGTGGCGAAGTGTTGGTTGCTTCGCGTAATTCGCGGTGCACAGTGATTGATTGACAAAATGTCGAAACGGGACACAGCGTCTCTAAGGGAATATGCTGCAGCCGAGGAGCGTTTGCTTGACATTTTTTCGCCGCCCTCCGGCCAAGAAGAGGCAACGAGCCCAGAGTTTGCCCATACTGTAGAAACGACTTCTGCATTGCATCAACAGAATCACAATGTGGTCGAGGTAGATCCGTCAAGGGACAACATGCTGCAGTTCATATCGGATGATTCCGAAATACGCAGTCTGCTAGCTAGTTCTGAAAGCAACGGCTTTAAGGGCTTTGAAGATGAGTTGCAAGACTACAGCGACACAGTTGGTGATACGCGAGAGTCGAGGACGCATCCTCTCATTTTCGGCATGTGCCGTAACCCCAATAACTTCATAAGCTGCCCAACACCGAAACGTGCATTTCTCAGTCCACAGATTGCAAGTTAGTAGCTTGGCTCAGCATAAAATGATTTGCACAACTCAAGTAATCTTTTTATTTTAGGTACACCAATTGCACTGCTGCAGACAGCCACTTCTCCTGGCTATATGCTTACAAACGGCAATATCAATGGCACCGATCAATCAGAACAGCCGCTCGAGGAGCAGGTGGCAATGGAGTGCCAAAATGTTATTCAACAGTCGCACACAGAATGCGTCATATATGAGAATAATGTGGTGTTGTTGACGGATGAGCACTGTTGCGAGATAATCGTGGCTGCCCACGGCGTGCATACGGATCAGGAAATGGAGCGTGCCTATTTGATGGGGTTGCAACCCGTTGCTAATGAGCAGGAGCAGCTGAACAATGGCGTCAGTTACAGTAGCGAATTGTGCCCAGCTGAGGAGGACGAAGAGGCCAGTGCCGAGCCTCATGTTTATCTCAGTGATGCTGCACTAGATCGGCAATATCAACAGCAGCAGTTACTGCTCGATGCAGCCGAAGAGGATGCCAATCAAGTTAGTGACTCGTTTGTGGACGATAGACCGGACATTTGCGAGGTGTACGACCACGAGCTGGAGGATCAGGACGATGACTGTGCAGTAAATGACCACGAGGAGAGCAGCTTGCAGCTGCAACTGCAGCAGATTGTCATGGAGCAGCAGCAGCTCACCATTCCTAACGATGTTGAGGAGCCGCAGCAATCCATCCATGCCAGCAACTTAGCGAATCAGCAGGGAAAACAAGCTACTGCTGCTGCAGCTGCAGCTGCGGCGACGGCTGCAATACCACACAGTAGCACCACAGAGTTTCCAGTAAGTTCCACTTCCATGCCAAATGGCAGCGACTACGATGACTACGACGATGAACTGGGCACAGCTGAGATGCAATCGCCGCCTCTGCAGCGGAAATATATGCCCCTGCTAAAGAATACGCTATCCGCGGAAGCCGTGGATCGTCGGTTGGCAAACATATGTCAGTCGCAGCCGCAGATGAGCCTTAGCGAAAAGATGGCAAATTGGAATTGTGCACACAGCTGCGAGGCCGTCGAGGATGTGGAAAACTTTGAGACTGTATTTGAACAGCACGAAGCTGAACCTGCCAAACGGCCCAAATTTAGTGAATTCTGCGAAATTTTGCGGCAAGACTATACTAAAATCACGCAGGAAATACAAGCACGTTCTGTGGGCGATGCAGTAGATGCAGCCGTAGCACCGGATACGCCATACTCCAGCGAAGATGCAGCCAGGCAAAAAAGACCATGCTATAGACGCTTACTGCACACAGTGCCGCCCCAACAGACCGAGGTCATTGTGCTAGACGATGATGACGATGACGACGATGATTGCTATGAGGTAACGGTTAATCCATCTACAACAACACTGGTGCCAAGGGTAAACAAAAAGTTCGAGCGAAAGGAACCTGTACTCAAGACAACACAGACCCAAACCATTTTGCCACTTCCGTTGGAAACAAAGGAAACCTCTACCACTGACCTGGGCAATCGTATAGTACCCTCTGTGCAACAAGACTGCAACAAATTCTCAAAATTCGCACAGGAACTAACCCAGCCTCAAGTGGCCACTAAACAGCAGAAATTGGAAGAGCAAGGCAAGGAGGTCGAGAGCCAGAAACTTCGAGTGATTCAACAACAGCAGCAGGAAGAACGTCAGCCAGCAGGTAAGTGTTTTCTTGCCGACCTTCCGTATTTGGATCATGTAATATTATTTACAAAATCCATTACCAAGCACATTTATTGCGTTTATCAAAATGTCTTGACTAACATCTATTTTTTGTGTTGAACAATGCGCAACCTTTATGAGCCACATGTTATCAATATCGAGGCTATTTTATCTTGGCCGCGCCAAAGCCAACAAATCTTTCTTGTTTGTTATTAGTTTCCGTATAATTTTTTAAAGCTAAGGGAAAAAAATGAATTTTTCCAACTAATTTTTTAATTTGTTTATCAGGCTCTCTCTAATTCTAAATAATTTCTCGAAACATTTCTCGTAGGGCGTGCGAGCAGTGTGGAATGCAACAATGATGCACAGTTCTCTGAGCAGCATGAGTTTTGCAACTATCTGGGCCTCACAGAGCTGGCAACGGCCAATGCCGTGGCCACCGCGATGCGGGAGCTGGCCAACAGTACCGTCGCGCGTCGCTCGCTGCGAGTGCGAACTCAACAGCAGCTGGACCGAATGCGCAGTGACGTTCGTGGCAAGCGAAAGGAGCGGCAGCAGCAACAGCAAAATCAACAGCAACGGGAGAAGCAGCCGCAAGATAAGACTGGTCAGCGTTTAAATAGCGATAGCAACAGCAGCAGCAGTAACAACAGCAATGTAAGCAGCGCCAAAAAGACTGCTTTAAGCGGAAACTCAGCAGTGCCAGCAGCTAGCAGCTCGTTTGTATATCCCAGGCCCTCCGCAATGAACTCTGACCTAGTTTCGTCCCCAACTATTGAGTACTACTATCCTGCTCAGTGTGGTGAGCAGCAGAACCAGCATAGCAATTCCTTGATGGTAGCCAGCGATTTTCACACAATGTCCTTAGAGGCGGCATTCGCGAAGGTCTATGCCGCCGCAGCGCCCGCCCAAAATGAGCTACACGAGTGTATGCAGAGTCGACTGCGCCAGGCGCGCGAAACCAAGCCTTCTATCTATATAGTAAAGTCCTTGAATAATGAACCCGCGCCGACAATAGTACCCGGCAGTCACAGCTCGGCGCACGCCTCGCCCGAGCGCCTACAGTACAATAAAAAACCCGAGCAAGCCGGTGCGGCCAAGATGTCGCGCAAGTCGCCCAAAAAATTAACACCGAAAGCCTCGAAACGTCGTCGGACCACCGTCGGTGTCGCCTCTGCGACTGCGCCGCATGAACGCGAGCTGGTCACGCGATCGACCACACACATGAACTCGAAATTGCTGCGCAATCGTAAGGTCAACTTGCTCAAGAGCTACGAGCTGTCGGATGCGATGGCACAGGGACGTGGCAAGCAGCGCCTAAGCGGCGGCTCGACTCCTGCTAACAAACGCCTTAATACGCCTAAAGTGGTTAAGAAAAGTTTAAAGAAGATGCCAACGCCAACCGAGCAAGTTGTGATTAGTCATGCATCCTCACAGCAGCATCGTTCCGATCAGCAGCAACCATCTCCGAAGCCCAAGAAGACGCGCGCACAGCCAGAAGAACAAAAAGTGGTGGTCAAGCGGAAGCGTTTGCGTGCCAAATCGTTGCCCACGGCACTAAATATTCAACAAAAGCAGCCAACGGGAGTTGGGGACACTAACATGGTCGCAGCCACGCCTGATTTGAACCACAACCAGCAACAGCAGACAAAGCTATTGATGGACACACAGGAGTTTTTAACAAATCATGCTGTGGTCTGTCCGCCTTTATACAATGCAGCAGTGCGTCGTTATGTCAATGCAGTTTGCAATCCCAAGGAACAGCAATCTCCGGAACAGCAGCAGCAGCAGCAGCAGCAGCAACATCAGCAGCAACAACAACAACAGCAGCAACAACAACAGCATCAGCAACAACAACAACAGTCGCAGCCACAGCTGCCCGAGGGATTCTATGATATGTCGTTATCCTATGCGCAGCTTGCCAAGCCTTCATTAATGTATCCACCATTATCACCGCCGCCTTCGCAGCGAGTGCCCCACTTTTCTCGACGAACACGCCAGGTGGCCGGCACGAGCGACGTGGAAGAACTTCCAGTGCCCAACATTCAGATAACGCCACCAGGTGGCCTTTTGTCCCTTACTAAGGGATCAACAGTGTTACGCAACCCGCTGGCGGGCAAGAATGGCAAGGTGCTGTATATATACTATGAGCTGGACCAGCTGATAGTGCTGCAGGAGAAGCTGGTCTCCTTTTGGAAGTACTCCAAAGTTTTCAATGTACTGCAGAAGGCGACAACTGAAGATAACCATGCCACAGGGACCCAACAGCATGCATTTAACATATTCGGCACAAACTCAAATCAAAATACAAAAAGAGGCTCTGCGGACTCGGACAAATCAGACGAGAGCAATAACCAGCGATGGATATATTTAGGTGGAACGCGCCGCATTACAAATGGTCAGTACCGATTTTAACTCAATGCCGATATTTACCAATTTTCTAACCAAATAGATATTGAAATTGTGACGCCGCACGGCAATCGTCTGTGCGCACACAACTCGACGCCCGTTTACATCGAGATGCGTAGTCATCCGCTGGATCATCATAAGCGTGAGAGCAAACTTTTGTCGTTGTACGTGAATGTGTACTATTATTGTGAGGAGGAGCTGCGGCCCAAGATGCATTCAGTACATCTCGATGCTGTCAATTGGTAGGTATTATATAATCTTATATTCTATTCCATAATGTATAAATATACTGACATATCATATAGTGAATGGGACCAGGTTATCTACACGAGCATAGCAGAATCGCGTTACTTTGTTATGGCATGGCAGCAGGAGCTGGTTGTGGGCAAGCCCAGGGCTGGTATTTGCAAGTACTCGCTGACGCCTACACTCGATACCCTAGCAAGCATTAGAGAGTTCAAACAGCTGCGCCATGAGCTAAGACACATTGAGTGCCTAACGGAGGATCGCTTGATTGGCTATGGCGACACGCGCATAACCATTTGGGACCATCGCAGCGGTGACACGTTAATGAACTATGATTTCGGGTTTAACTTAGGCCACAATCTGGGGGTAATGCATTTTCCCAGCTTTGACATCGATCAGAGCAGCATGCTCGTTTTGTATCAACATGTCAAGGAAATGAACAAATGGCCCGAGTTGCGTATCATTGCCTGCGAGTTGTCGCATGCCACACCAACACATCGCGTGCTGCACGTGCACCGTCTGCCTTCTCCGCATTTTGACTGTCAATTGGTGGCCATCAATACGGGCGATCATCTGATACTGAAATCGCCGAAGGACGATGAAATCTGGATTAACACTGCGGATCCGAGACAGCTCACATATTTGGCCCCCCAAGGCAATCGCCGTTTCTATACACGACAAAAGTCTCAGATCATTACAATGACGCCGAACACACTTATCGTGGACAGCATTGCTAATCATGTGCTGAAACTCGCCACAGCGCATCAGGAGAAGATGATGTTAGCGGCTATGGAGGTGATGGCGACATCTGGCTCACAAATGCCCGTTTCCGTGTAGAGTACATAAAAAATCCAACACCAACAAACAAAAAAATACAAAATTTTAAATGTAACATTTGCAAGTGAATATAGTTTTAAGTTATTTTAATGAATCCTTTAATGCTTACCAAAATTTGTTCGTAACTCCTTACCATCTAATTCTAAATATAACTGTAAATTCACAGATGCTTTTGAAGTAGTGTCGATACTAACCTCGTTTAGTTATAGCCTTATAGCCATAAATCTATATGAACGCATACAAATTTATATGTATGTAAATACATTTAGCTCCTAACGAAGGGAATTCAATATCAATCGTTGTCTGGAAGCCTAGAACATATGAAGCCCAGTTGATTTATTATATTTTTTTTTTAATTTAGTTTAAGCTTTCAAATCAAGCTTTACGTAATGTGTTTATTTTTATGTTCTAAAAGAAAACAGTTCTTTAGGCTTAGCTCTAGCATAACGCTAGCTATGTACTATATATGAGTGGAGAGCTCTTAACGCACCGGAAGAGCGTGTTAAGTTTAGTTACAAATTTAAACAATAAAATGAATACAAAAATATAATATAATACAAATTTTTAATTATATAATGAATTTCTAAATTTTGGTCGGCTTTAGGCGGGATGTACATCAAATCCAGGCTGCAATTAATTGGGGCACGGTTTATTTTTATTTTGAATGATGTATTTTAAACGCATTTGGTATATGAACTAATCAATTTCAACTACACATTCTTTTAATAGTTACAGATACAACATTACAAGCTATTTATTAATTACAATTATTTTTTATCTCATACTAACAGCTAATTTATATACAGAAGATATACTTACACGAAAGAAAAATTCATATAAAAATTGTGAAAGTTTATAGACTACAAGTACAAATCGTTACATATACAAAACATGCGTATGGCCTATCCATATCATATCATACATGTTAGATTTATCGGCTTAATTTATGTAAATAGATTAGCCCGTCAATTGCATAACGCTTAATCGTTACTGCTAGGAAGCTGAGTTACGCTAACGCTTTTAATAAACATATTAAAAACTAAGCGTTCGTTCAAATGCTAAAGACTAATAAGAAGTTCCAGTGAAACTTTAGCTAATGATTGGCCTTTTCCTATTAGATCTTCTACTTAAAGTAAAGTTCAAGAATGAAAGTTACGATTTATATACTTATGTATATGCGCTTGTACAATTAGTGAAATGTTAACCGAAAAGCACTTTAGAACTTAGAACTTAGGAAGGCGCCATTGAAGCGTTAAAGCGTGGAGCCACACCGTTGTTGAGCAGTCACTACAATTCCTTGTCTGGCTTTTTCTTTTGCGTCGCCGCTGACGCTACCGTTGCTGCTGCTGCCGCTGTTTCGTTCTGGTGCGCCTCTTTGGCAAGTTGCCAGCGCTTAAACTCCACCATCTGCATAATGCGAACGCGCAGCTGCGGTCTTCGCAACATCGCCGCAGCCAGCTTGGTAAACTCCATGTTGTACATGAAGACAACGGGTATGGCGACATCATCTTTGCCATCGCCGGACATCGCAAACATGGGTTGCGTTTCGCCGGAAGAACCTGATACATTATCACAGACGATCAGCGCCGTGGCGCCCGCTTTTTGTGCCAATCGCGCTTTACTCACGAACGTGCAGTCGCCGCGTTCCGCTACAAGAATCTTGCCGGCCACATTGTTGGCGTTTTGCAGCGGCTCGTCGCAGGCCCGCAATGGACTGGCCAGCACAATTTCACCCTCGACAAACTGCTCGCCGATCAGCTCTGGACTGAAGTGCGATGGGCCGGCCATCAGTGCTGTCCAGTCCTGGGACTGATCATCCAAAGCATAAGCAACAGCCTACAAGAGAAATAAACATCTTAGTTGATTAAATATGCCGCCGACGAAAACCTATCTAACATTTTATCGATGAATGTGTATTTTTAATTATGAATATGAGGTGAATTTTTATTTTAAATCGGCGAAACGCGATCTTTTATTAAATATTACTTAAAACGAGTTGAAAATAGATCGATTGCAATACACAGCATTTTTGAAATAGAGGATTTTCACCAGCGCATTCAAGTATATCAATAAAGAAAATCGCGTTCATCGATTGCATTTACAATTTTAGTTAGTTTTTTGTTTTTTTTTTTCTTTTCAGTCGATCAGCATACCACCATAAGTATTCACATAATGCATTTTTTTATTTACGCACCTGCAGCTGTGCCAGCTGATTCATGCTTTGCATTTTGGTGAGCTCAAGCATTTCCTGCATAAACTGCAGTCCCATTTCGCCTTCCTCCTGACTCTTGGCCTGTCGAAAATACAAGTGATTGATATAAATTATAAAAGAATACCATAAAAGCTGCAGGAGTGTCAGCTTTTAAAATATGTACCACCAAAACTAAGAACTCGACTCAAGAAAGGCAAAAGCAACAGAAAACTTACATTATAGAAACTATGAAACAGTCGCACCTTGCCTTGGCTACGATCGCCTACCGAAACCATGGTGATGCCCATGTCGTATACAGCTCGCAGATGATCTGCATTGCTTGCCTGAAAATCCAGGGCGCTGAGCCGCTTGCCACTTGTGGTGCGCGGGCACGAGCCCGTAATGAAGTTGCGCAATGGTTTGCGTACTTTCTCAGGAAAAAGCTTATTGGAACTGGGGCAGGTGCGCATGAAGTCGAGTACATTGTGTTCGTCCGATTGCCGAAAGCCTGTTAATATACGTATGGAATATTTATTAGTGATTATGGAATGGGATACTACCATATTTGAATGAACTTACTAAACGTGGAATTCCCTAGTTGTGCAATGGACAGTGGCAACAGGTGCGCCTCGGTTGTAAACACAAATTCATCCACATTAATGATTAAATCTTGCGGCTCGGAGAACAGCAAGAACAAATACTTAAATGTCTCCGATAGGACAAACGAGTCCATGCGATCCTCATGCTTGCCGGTGCGCACATCGTTGACAGCCGCATAGCCACAGGCAACTTTCGCATATTGTTGCAACGTTTTCAGCGCGCGCTTGCCCACCTGTAGGTAGTGATGATCACCGGTGGCGCGGTACAAGAAGTACGTGGACTCAATAAACTCGGGTCGCAAATGGTGCTGGCCCCAATGAATTTGAAAGTCCACAGTCCACGCCTCCGGAATGAGAGTATGCATTTGCATCACTTGGTAGAGCATTTCGTGGGTTTGGACAGCCGGCTTCAGATCGCCAGATAGCACCTGCAGTCCCGGCCAAAAGGCCAGTAAGGAGTCCATAAAGTTACGTGACTTGGCGTGTGGCCGATGCATCAGAACGTCCAGCAGCATAGGTCCTTCGCTGACGTACTTCATCACGGCGTTATAGTGACGATTAAAGCGGGCCAGATATTTGTCATCACCGAGCAGCACATACGATTTAAAAAGATACTCGTAGTAGCTGTCGATGCCGGCACCCACTCCCGAATCACGACGCACCCAATCTCCAGAGTGCACATTTAGGACTGTGCCCATTAGATCGGAACCTCGATGCCGCAGCTTCCACAACGCATCCATTGCGGCATGTGCGCGCACCTCAAAAATGGGATCACCCGTTAACCGCGATAAGGCGGCAAACTCCAGCAGTATGGTACCGGCGCAAGCGGTGCACGTTTCACGTGACTTCTTCAGCTGTGGATCCTTCATGCCCAGCCGCAGATTAACACGAGCATGAGGTATGCCCGTCGTCGTATTAAACGCCGGCAATAGACGGTAGCCCAGTTCGCGAGCCATCTCCAGCATTTCTCCCTTATACCAGTGCATTACGTCAGCCTGCTTCTGCAGATATTCAGCGAGTATGTGCGCCGACAGTAGCCCGCCCACCATGCGAATATTCGTCTCGAAAACTGACACTATGATGTCGCTGTCGAATTGCACGTCGCGTATGACCAACTTGACGGCGTACTCGAACTCCGCAAAGTCCCCAAGCAGCACCAATGTGTCCAGTGTATCCACTAGCGTCATGGAGAAGCTGCAAATCATACAAATCATATGGAAAACGATGAGAAATGTTAATGAGTATCAAATATGTAAATCATGTAAGCATAACATTGACCTTCTAACTCAAAGCTCATCTGTAACGAATCACATATATACATTAATAGATTGATTATTCAACTAAGTGGCTTAGCCAATGCTTTTAAAAGTTGTCTTCATGGTGTATAGCCACACGATCTTCATATCATCTTCATATATATATATATGTATTAATGGCAGGAAGAAATGCCGTATATACTCGGCACATTATCAAGATAAGATTAACATATAAGTTATACCTCATAGGTGAATTTTTTATCTTATCTATAGTTAAAAGCTCGTGTTTGTGGAGATGACTGAACTCACTTTCCCAATATGTCGTCCATGTCGCCGCGAGAGGGGGTCACGCCGCGGTATCGTCCCTTGCATGAGAGGGGCATCAGCTCATCGGCTGGATAGGCGTTCTCCATGTAGGCATGGTATGCATGATAGAACATTTCGCGCGCTTCTTCACTACAAAACCAATGTGGGACAATTAAAAAATAAAAAAGCTTTAAAACGCAAATGTGTGCATTAAATTACCGCAACTCGGCGCGTTCCTTGTGCGACATGTTCTGCGTGGGTATCGTGCTCGCATCATCGCTGAGCACGCAGACGATTAGCAGGAGTACGGAGAGCAGCGACGGCAGCAGCAGGCGCTGTGCCACCTGCGACGATGTCGAGCTCATCTTACCAATAAGCTGCAACTAGATTTGGAACTGGAACTGAGGCTGAGCTAAGCTTGAGCTAAATGCTAGCTCCGATTCCGAGCAGCTGGTGCTGTTAGTATTTTGTTTTTGGCAGCCACAGTTGCCGTTACTTATCACCTTGTTGTTGCTTGTTGCTTGTTGGTTGTTGCTTGTGACGTTGACCTTCACTTTGCACGTTTTAATTGTGTTGCTCTTGGTTATTCGAATTTATCGCGTTGTCCGCTTTAGTTGAGTTTCGGTGCTTTTAATTTTAAAACAGCGCCTCATTTAAATGTAGGGACGGTAAGACTGTCACAAAAAAAAAATTAGTATATAGTATATACGTATGTATATGTATATGGCACTTTACAGTTATGCCTTTGCTGCTTACCCGACAAACAAATTTTGGAATTTATATTGCACTTCTTCTTGCACTTGTGCGTTTGTGGTGTGCTCGGCAGCGTTGTGTGCATTTTTTACAATTCAAAGTTGTAACATTTCAAAAGAGTTTATTTTTAATCTTGTTTGCTGCTGCTCCAATAACAAAACACCACGACTGCAAATCGCCGATACCCGAACAACGACCGCTCGCTGCAAGATTAATTTATATGCTGCAGATGTTTAGTATGCACACATTGTGTTATGATGAAATGCCACATATGAGTAGATGGTATTCGTATTTAATTACGCTTTGCTGGCAGTTGTTAAATTAGTTAAATGGGCCGTTCTTATCAATTCTATGCAGTAAATTATAGTGCGAAAAGATGAGTGTTGGAAAAAATATATAAATGTTTCAATATATCGGTACTTTTATAGCTATATGGTCACCTAAAATGAATTGTGCTAGGATGACACCTTCAATGTCTGTAATACCGTCAATGCTGAACTTCTTAGGAATATGTAAGCGAATAATTTTGCTTGAAAATTCAGAACTTATTGATAAATAAAATATAAAATTTGTCTGTATAAACAAATAAATTATGTGGCTAGTAGCACCGAAAATATCAATGAAATATCAACAATCTATTAAAGCTGTCAGTGTAACACAATAATGTGACCAAACTAGCTCTTGACAGTGTTGGAAAACCGAAAAAGCGACAGCTGATGCCGCCGCGCTTTTAAAAGGTTCTGCATTTAAGTCTAAATAAAATGGTAATTATATATGCTTTAATAAAAATCAAGTAAATAATATGATACATTTAAATGAGTAGAGACGCAGCTTGGCGCCCAGCCAACGACTAGGAGTGCGCATCAAATCAAAGGATGCATTCACCCCGCCACTACAAAAGAAAAACAAACGTGTGTGTCAGATAGAACTGCAGAAACGCCAAAGCGCACTGCGGGATGCAACCAACACTGTGGAGCTGCCGCTGCCGATACGTTTTACGGCGAATAGCGACTATGAGCAGGCCATTGCCAAGGTGCTAGCGCGCAAGTTCAAAGTTCCTATTGCTAACTATGTTCCAGATTACGGTGGAAATCGTACGTTGGGCGTGCGTCGTTCCATAGTACGGCGGGCATTGCACGATCCACAAGCGTGCAATGCACTGGTGCTGTATACGCCACCTGCTTACACGGAGCACGAGCGCATGTCGCTGGATCCCAGCAAGCTACAGGTACATGTCGTTGTGGATCCGATCCTTAGTAACGTGCTGCGTCCGCACCAGCGTGAAGGTGTGCGCTTCATGTATGAATGCGTAGAAGGAAAACGAGGTAATTTTAACGGTTGCATAATGGCTGATGAGATGGGGCTGGGCAAGACGCTGCAGTGCGTCACATTAACGTGGACGCTGTTGCGCCAGAGTCCCGATTGCAAGCCAACAATCTCAAAGGCCATAGTGGTGTCGCCCTCATCGCTGGTCAAAAACTGGGAGAAGGAGTTCACAAAGTGGTTGCACGGCCGCATGCATTGTCTGGCAATGGAGGGCGGCTCCAAGGAGGACACAACCCGCACTCTAGAACAGTTTGCCATGAATACAGCGACACGCTGTGGCACACCCGTGCTGCTGATCAGCTATGAAACATTTAGGCTATATTCACACATACTTTGCAAAACGGAAGTGGGCATGGTCATCTGCGACGAAGGCCATCGGCTTAAAAACAGCGACAATCTAACATACCAGGCGCTAATGGGCCTCAAGACCAAACGACGCGTTCTGCTCTCCGGCACGCCGATACAAAACGATCTGACCGAGTATTTCAGTTTGGTCAACTTTGTCAATCCGGAAATGCTGGGCACAGGCTCTGATTTTAAACGGAACTTCGAGAATGCCATTCTGCGTGGTCAAAATGCTGACTCCACGGACGCAGAACGCGAACGTGCATTAGAGAAGACACAAGAGTTGGTTGGGCTGGTTAACCAATGCATTATACGTCGCACCAATCAAATCCTAACCAAATATCTGCCCGTCAAATTTGAAATGGTCGTCTGTGCCAAGCTAACGGCCGTACAGCTGCAGCTCTATACGAATTTCCTTAAATCGGATCAGGTGCGTCGAAGTCTGGCAGGTAAGGTGATAGTCAAACTACACACCTGACTCGTTAGTACTTACATATTTAAATTACAGATTGCACTGACAAGACGACGTTGACGGCTTTAGCCGACATAACTACGTTGAAGAAGCTATGCAATCATCCTGATTTGATCTACGAGAAAATAGCGGCACGGGAAAAAGGTTTCGAAAACTCGCAGAATGTTTTGCCGCCCAACTACAAGCCAAAGTAAATTGAAAAGCTCTCCTGTGTTTAAATTGCGCTTATATCATCATATCATCTATTTATAGAGACGTCAATCCCGAGCTGAGTGGAAAGTTTATGTTGCTTGACTTTATGCTGGCTGCCATACGTGCCAACAGCGATGACAAGGTGGTTCTCATCTCGAACTACACGCAGACGCTGGATCTATTTGAGCAGCTGGCGCGTAAACGCAAATACAGTTATGTACGCTTGGATGGCACCATGACGATCAAGAAGCGCTCCAAGGTTGTGGATAGATTCAATGATCCCGCCACCGACTGCTTTCTCTTTATGCTCAGCAGCAAAGCAGGTGGCTGCGGTTTAAATTTAATAGGGGCCAATCGTTTGTTCATGTTTGACCCTGACTGGAATCCGGCAAACGATGAACAAGCAATGGCCAGAGTCTGGCGTGATGGACAAAAGAAGCCCTGCTACATCTATCGCTTGGTGGCGGTAAGCGTCGCAAAACATTTACCGCTGATCCAATTTTATATAACATCTTTCTCCGCAGAGTGGCTCAATTGAGGAGAAAATTCTACAGCGGCAGACACATAAGAAATCGTTGTCTAGCTCAATTATAGATAACAACGATTCGGCAGAAAAGCATTTCACACGGGACGATCTTAAGGATTTGTTTAGGTTTGAGGCCAACGTACTATCCGATACACACAACAAGTAAGTGAAATTGACTCTGCGTTTATTGGGCCTATCTTATATTTCTTTTGGTGCCTTTCAGACTTAAGTGCAAGCGCTGTTTCCAAGATGTGCAAAGACAGCCGCCACCAGAGAACTCAGACTGCACATCGCATTTGTCGCAGTGGTTCCACTGCTCCAATAATCGCGGCCTGCCTGACAGCATTCTTTCCCAAGCTTGGATGGCGAGTAAATGTGTTTCCTTTGTGTTTCATCATCGCTCGCAGGGAGACGCGAAACAACCGACCTGCATAACGGAGGACAATCATTCGGAACAGCCGCAGCTGAATTCTAAGCGTAATGCCAATAGTGTGCTGGAAAATGATGATGATGAGGACTTCGATCCAAATAGTAGTGATGAAAAATTTTTGGGTTTTTAGCTGCTTTCAATTTAAAAATAATTTATTTAGTTGCGGAACCTGATTTAGAGTTTAGGCTAATCTAAAACTAATTCTCCTGTTATATGTTAACAATTAACCTAATATACATAAGTAGTTTAACATTTAAAATATGGAACCTACCGCTCTCAAGGCTTGTCCACTCCATAAACAGAACTACAAGCGTCTAAGATAGCTTAACCTAGTGCACAATTCAGTTATACAAAACACTCATATACATGCAAATATCATGATAATACATAGCATAATAATATACACGTATATATGCATAGGTAATATACCAATGCAGTGTTAACACAGTCAATAGAACACAGTTGTGTGTGTACACACACATATATATATATATATATATATATATATATATATATATATAATGGGAGTTAAACGTCGATTATTTTATGCTCCAGTTCGACCCACACATTGCTCTTCTCCGGTGGCTTTTGCAGCGGAGACGGCTGCTGCTGTAGTTCGAACAAAAAGCCTCCAATGCTTTGGTAGTAACTGCAAAATAAAATTAAATAATAATTGATTAGACATCAATCATTTGCTACGCACTTAAAATCAGCTATTTCAAATAAAAATTCATAATTATCGAATGAATACAAAACAAACAATTTCTTTTAATGTTAAATAGATTTACTGATATTGATATTTGTGACAGATTCTGTACAGGATTTAAAATATCAGTAAATATGATATACATAGCTTTCCGATGGTGCACAGTGAAGTGCAGAGATTGATCAAGATATCTTGATATAAGCACCCCATTTGTAAATAAATAAATTGTACTTTCCAACTATAAAAGTGCATTTTTAAATGAGCACAGCCGCGATAGAAACTGTATAGCTCTAGCAACACAATCAGAATATATTTAAAATCGATTATGTCTTACCCATCTACTATCCAGGTGTCATTGTGCGAGCCTCCCGGGAATTCAAGCATACGCTTCTGTTCACTACCGCATTTAGTATACAAGGCACGCATCATGCGCGGTGGCACTAGGTTATCTGCAAGTCCCGATATAAATAGAAAAGGCACCGAGCACTTGCTTATCTTGTTAAGTGAATGATACTGCAACGGAAAAGCCGTTATAGAATGAAGGCGAAGTCAACGAGAATCGCTGAAAACTTACCTTATTTTTATACAACAGATTTGGTATGTATTTCACAGATGGATGCACCAGTTCCACGGCCATATCACGTATGCTGGTAAACGTATTCTCCACAATAGCGCACATCAGTTTCTGGCCATAAACGGTGTCGGCGGCTACATCGATTACAACAGCGCCACCCAGCGAGCGACCAAAAAGTATTAGCTGTGAGTGATCCAGGTCGTGGCGTGTGTGCAAATAATCAATTGCAGCGCGAGCATCTGTTACCAGACCACGCTCCGAGGGAACGCCCGTAGAGAGGCCATAGCCACGATACTCGACCATTAAAATGTTGCAATGAAGATGATGATAAATGCCCCACACCTGCAAAAAAAAAAAAGGCAAATTCATATAAGAGCAGGAAGAATAGCATGTTGGACGAGTATTTTTTACATTCTGCATGCGGTGACCCATGTTTCCAGCGTTGCCATGAAAATATAGCAATGTGGGCACGGATTTGCAACGTTCCTCCGGCTGACTGATCCAAAAGGCGTGTAGTGTCACGTCATCAGGCGTCTTGATGCTAACTGTAAGATGTGGCAGGTTGTGCATAGTTGGGATTGGTATGTAAATGCGTGAATTCGTTGGCAAGTCCGGATGGTACAAGAGCAGGTCTTGTGCATGGTAGAAAATGACTGCAAGTAAAGAAAGACTTGTGTAATAGCCGTGTCAATTATGTTATCGTTTACGTACGTAATAGGATGGCTGCGAAGAGCGTAAGCGTCATATAACCCCCATAGAAATAGTAGAAAATAAAAAATAGCAAAAAGGCGCCCACTATGCCTACGCCCACACCTCGCGATTTGGGCAGCGCTATGCCCACTTTTTTCATTATGAACACGTGCGTAGGTACACACAGCCGCTACATGCTGCGATTCTGGCAATTTTTAATGCAATATTACATTATTTGTATAAGTCGCTGAGTTGAGAAGCGTCGACGTAGTTAGTGTAGTTGTAGTGGAACTGCCAACTTGGTATTGGTTAAATTAAAAATCTGGCAGCACAAAATCAGCTGAAACTAATCGAAAACAGGTGTGTAGTTGCGATGAATGTATGCAACTCTGGCCAATTCGATTAATTCTGATCTCAATGCATTCCTGATTAAAACAAAATGGCGTATTTTTTACTGCAATAGACCAAGACGACGTGAACATCTTTTGTGTGGTTGAAAACTGCATTTAAAAACAAGTGGCCTACTTTAAGAATCAAAATAAACATTTGTCAGAACCGTTAAAAAGTGTATTGCATGTTTAATGAGCGCTATAAGGCAACTCTGTGTGCTACCACGAAAATATAATGAGCCAGGTAAGTAGGCCTTGAAAAAGCTGTGACAGTGAACGTCGTGTAAGAGAAAAAAATAACAAGAAAACTATGAAATTTTTCTATCACTCGAAACAAGGCGATATCAATCAGTTGAATTCGAGTCGTCGTGTGAGTATTATTCTAAAAAACTGTGTCGTATCAAATTTCTACGCTGCTTTTGTGGGTGTGGCAGGTGCCAGTCACGAAGACAGACCCTAGAGGTGTCCCCCCGATTGAGACTCCGTCACACGTACATCAATCTGTGCGCTATTTAGAGCGGCTTTTTACATAAAAGTGCTTAAATATCATATATTCAATGGTGTTTCACAGTTTTGACAACGCCAACCGGTGCCCGAGGATCCAACGTGGCAGCCAGTGTAATTTTTCTAAAAATCCATTGGGGACCCATTTTCGCAAATTTCGTTTGAAATTGGGCATTTCGGTTTGTTTTTGTTGAATGCCGCATCCAAACAGGAATAATTTGCATTAATTTCGTACATTTCCAGTGGCAAATGAAAATTTTCTTCGATTACGTAATCACATTTTGTCCGGTGCAAAGTTTTCCTCGTGCTCCAATCCATCAATTACTGGCCAATTTTCTTGGGTAATCAGCCCGCCAAAATATTATTTCCAAAGAACTATCTCTGTTTTCTTAAAATTTTTGATACAAAATTTATTATTAATAATTTTAGCCCGTTTTCAGTGCATTTAAACAACAATGTTGTCGCTGTAGACCAAGAGAACTGCGTCAGTAGCACAAAATCTGTGGATTTTTGATGTTTTAACCGGCTTTTCTGTCCAGGATCGTGTATAAAATGTTTTTCATTCATTTCTGTGTAGTACGCCTGCGTACCCAGTTCAGACAACGTACTGAAGCCACCAAGCTTTGATACTGACAACAAAAACCGTTCTTTAAAGGCTACAAACTGCATTTCTGGAGAGGATTACTAGTGCAACTGCATTCTACAGGAGGTTTTTTGTGTTGCAAGCCAAGGCACCTACATTGCTGACATCTTTGGATGCGGCAACTGCAAGAACTCCTTCAATTTATACGCGTTTTTAGGTTATTTCGATAATACAAGGATATTTCGTATTCTTAGCCAGGAATAAGTGCATATTTAAGTTCTTGTGTCAACATATTACGAACTTGTACCATACTCTTTAACCTACAGTGTGTGGTAAGTTCTTTAAATTTCTAATTGCTCTTGAAGAATTAAGTGGTCAACCTAAGGATGAGTCTCTTAAAGGGCACGTATAGATTAGATGCAGTTATACCTTGCATAATACCTTATATAATAGCGATACTGAACGATGAATCCTGGTTTGATCTTCATTCGTAAACTCGATCGAGGAAATATTAGACGTAAATGCAGTAAATCTCTTCTTGACAGGATAAGCTCTTCACTACGAAAGTAACCTGTGAGAATGATTGGAAGTGTTGCATATTAAGTTATATTGGCACAAAGCCTGCAGATATTTGTAAGCCGGGCCTTAAATGATAGTGTACTCAGTTTTCTTTTTTTAACGTGTATTTTTCACGTGTTTTCTTAAGCACATTCGGTTAATTGTGGACATACATTTCATTGTGAATAAAACGGTTTTCGAACGCGTGGTACTTTTTAACTTTTTCGAAACTTTTTTTATCTCTTTAAGCTCTCTATATAAAATTGGATATAATCGTGCTCTTCATTCTTACACAGGCACTCAATGAATCGTCGCATAGTATAGGCTCAGACGAACAAGATGACACACGTGAAGAAGCCAGTGGCAGTGGCAGCGGTAGTGGGAGTGGCTCCTCCGGTACCGACTCCGATTCAGACAGTTCCTCAGGTAATTCCAGCGATGGACGCAGTTCGCCGGAGCCAACGGTTGCCAAAACGGCGGTGGCGGGTTTTCCACCAACAGCAGCGGCCGCTCAAGCAGATACCAAAACGAATGGCTTTACGGATGGGAACGACGACGACAGCTCTAGTGCCGGTTCCAGCGCCAGTGATTCCGAATCTGATGCGGAGGCTGGCGGCGAGCCTGACAGGACGAGCAACAACAACATCAACAATAGCAAATTGCACACGAGTAGTAGCAGCAGCTCCTCGGGCACCTCTGCCGCAACGTTGGCTAAGGCTGGCGCGGAGGATGACGATGACGACGATGATGAAGATGACGATGATGGCCAGCAGCCACAAAAGACGCAGGCCACCAGCGAAGCCAGCGCCGATGAAGATGATGCCAGTGATAGCTCTGAAAATGCCTCGCCCACATCCTCTAGCAGCAGTAGCAGCAGTGTAAGTTTCAAGCTTTTGATTGACTGACTTCAAAAACATAAGCTCGTTTGCTTTACCCAACTCGACAGGAGGATGAGGAGGATGATTACAGACCCAAACGATCCACGCGACAGCCGCGCAAAGCTCCGCCACCTGCTGCTGAAAAATCCAAGCGACCAACCAAAAAGAAGAAGAAAAACCAAGCGTAAGTTTAGTTGAGGAGAACTAATTAGTTTGTCAGCTAAGCCTAACAGGCTTAATGTAGGAATCTACATTCAGTCAGGCATTTTATTTATATTATATTTACGGTTTTGGTTACACTTACAAAGTTCGAAAAGCTAGAAAAAAAATACATATCCTTTTAAGCTTTTTTAAGAGTTCCCATATATTAATTGGTTAGTAAATTTTATAATTTTTATTTATTGATTGTATAAGAATTATTCGTCATTTATTCCGTAATTTCTTTGTAATCGGGAGACATACTATTATTATTTGTTATTCTTATGATATTTTAATTTTAAGGTCAGAAGAACATTAATTTACCCTCGAAATGTTACCAGTGATAGTTAGGAATTGCTAATCAGGACGTCTCACAATGATTTACTTTTCGATTCGTAGATTATTCAAAAAGTAGTTCAAACGAATTACTTTAAAAACATTGTGCGCAACCTTTTAAGCATCTATTCATATACAGTTGGGACTCCGAGGAAAGCGATGAAAGTGACGACGCAGATAGCGACGAGGCGCCATTTACAGCACAGAAACGCAAGTGCAATGCCCGCTCCGGCGGCAACAAACAGTCACAACAGCAGCAGCGACGCCGCGTAAAGTCCTTTAGTTCGGAAGACAGCGACGATGATGATGCGAGCAAGCGGTAAGCCAATTGTATTATAATGAAGCACTCACTCATTTTCCATTCAACACAATAGTTGCGCAACTCGTCGTAACGCCGCTGCTGTTAGTTACAAAGAGGCCTCTGAGGACGAGGCTACCGACTCCGAGGACCTGTTGGAATTTGAGTACGACGAGAGTCAGGCAGCTGCGAGCGCGGTTGCCGCTGAGGAGGAGGAAAAGTGTGAGACTATTGAACGCATACTTGCGCAGCGTGTGGGAAAAAAGGGCTGTACAGGCAATCAGACAACCATATATGCCATCGAGGAGAACGGCTGCGATCCGAATGCGGGCTTCGATGAATCATCGGAACTGGCGGAGGTGCAATACCTGATCAAATGGAAAGGTTGGAGCTACATACACAATACCTGGGAGTCGGAGACGACATTGCGCGAAATGAAGGCCAAGGGCATGAAAAAGCTAGACAACTTCATCAAGAAGGAGCAAGACACAGCTTACTGGCGTCGTTATGCCGGCCCCGAAGATATAGATTACTTTGAGTGTCAGCTAGAGCTGCAGCATGATTTGCTGAAATCTTACAACAATGTGGACCGCATAATAGCGCGCGGCACCAAACCCGAAGACGGCAGCGAGGAGTTTCTGTGCAAATGGCAATCTCTGCCCTATGCGGAGTCCACGTGGGAGGACGCAACACTTGTGCTAAGGAAATGGCAACGCTGCGTGGAACAGTTTACCGAACGAGAAAACTCCAAGTGGACGCCATCGCGTCACTGTCGTGTGATCAAATATCGACCCAAGTTCTCGCGCATCAAGTCACAGCCCGAGTTTCTGGTGGACGGACTGACACTTCGTGATTACCAAATGGATGGTCTGAACTGGCTGCTTCATTCGTGGTGCAAAGAGAACTCGGTCATACTAGCCGATGAGATGGGCCTGGGCAAGACCATACAAACTATATGCTTTCTCTATTCGCTCTTCAAGATTCATCATCTGTATGGACCATTTCTATGCGTGGTGCCGCTCAGCACAATGACCGCCTGGCAGCGGGAGTTCGATTTGTGGGCACCCGATATGAATGTGGTAACATACCTGGGCGATGTTAAGTCCCGTGAGCTAATACAGCAATACGAGTGGCAGTTTGAAGGTTCCAAAAGACTGAAATTCAATTGCATATTAACCACCTATGAGATTGTGCTGAAGGACAAACAGTTTCTGGGCACGCTTCAATGGGCGGCATTGCTGGTGGATGAGGCGCATCGTTTGAAAAACGATGACTCGCTGTTGTACAAATCGCTCAAGGAGTTTGACACGAATCATCGACTGCTTATTACGGGTACTCCACTACAGAACTCATTGAAGGAGCTGTGGGCTCTGCTGCACTTTATTATGCCCGCCAAATTCGATACATGGGACAACTTCGAGCTGCAACATGGCAATGCCGAGGACAAAGGCTACACCCGTCTGCATCAACAGCTTGAGCCTTACATACTGCGGCGGGTAAAGAAAGATGTGGAGAAATCTTTGCCCGCCAAAGTAGAACAAATACTGCGGGTGGAAATGACATCGCTCCAGAAGCAGTATTACAAGTGGATACTAACCAAAAATTTTGATGCGCTTCGCAAAGGCAAACGCGGCTCCACCTCCACCTTCCTCAACATTGTCATTGAGCTAAAGAAGTGCTGTAATCATGCGGCGCTCATACGACCCTCAGAGTTTGAGCTATTTGGCTTACAGCAGGACGAGGCGCTTCAGATGCTGCTCAAGGGCTCCGGCAAGCTGGTGCTGTTAGACAAACTATTGTGTCGGCTTAAGGAGACGGGACATCGTGTGCTCATATTTTCACAGATGGTTCGCATGCTTGACGTGCTCGCTGATTATCTGCAGAAGCGACATTTCTCATTTCAGCGCTTGGACGGCAGTATTAAGGGCGAGATGCGGCGTCAGGCATTGGATCACTTCAATGCTGAGGGTAGCCAGGACTTTTGCTTTTTGCTATCAACACGCGCCGGCGGCTTGGGCATTAATCTGGCCACAGCCGATACAGTCATTATATTCGATTCGGATTGGAATCCACAGAATGATTTGCAAGCGCAGGCGCGTGCCCATCGCATTGGCCAAAAGAATCAGGTTAACATATATCGCTTGGTCACAGCGCGCTCCGTCGAGGAGCAAATTGTGGAACGTGCCAAGCAAAAAATGGTGCTCGACCATTTGGTGATACAGCGCATGGATACCACAGGCCGTACGGTGCTAGACAAGAGCGGCAATGGTCACTCCTCCAATTCCAATCCCTTTAACAAAGACGATTTGTCCGCCATACTTAAATTTGGCGCAGAGGAGCTGTTCAAGGACGAGCAGGAGCACGAGGAGGAGCTTGTTTGCGATATTGATGAAATCTTGCGCCGCGCCGAGACACGCAATGAAGACCCTGAAATGCCCGGTGATGATCTGCTTTCTGCCTTCAAGGTGGCCAGCATAGCTGCCTTCCAGGAGGACGAACCAAGCGAGACGGCGAGCAAGGATCAGCAGGGAGCTGATGAAGAGGATGACAGTAAGGATTGGGACGACATTATACCCGAAGGCTATCGCAAGGTCATTGAGGATCAGGCGCGTGCCAAGGAAATGGAAGATTTGTACCTGCCGCCGCGCCGCAAAACAGCCGCGGCCAATAAAAACGATGCCGCCAAGCGAGGCACAGCTAAAGGTAGCGCACGCTCCAAACAGGGCGACGATTCAGCCGATTCCGATTATGAGCTGGGCTCCGATGCTAGTGGCGCTGGAGGCGAGGAAGGGAGTGGAAGGCAACGCAAACGCGGGCGTCCCGCAATGAAGGAGAAAATCAATGGCTTTACCGATGCGGAGCTCCGTCGTTTCATACGCAGTTACAAGAAGTTTCCGGCGCCGTTGCAGCGCCTGGAGGCGATCGCCTGTGACGCGGAGCTGCAGGAGAAGCCTCTGGCAGAGCTAAAGCGGATTGGCGAGATGCTGCATGATCGATGTGTGCAGTTCTTAGACGAGCACAAGGAGGAAGAAATCAAGACTGTCAAGGAAGAGGATCAGCAGGGCAACAAACAGCGACGCACACGCGCCACTTACTCGGTTAAACTGGGCGGCGTGTCGTTCAATGCCAAAACGCTGCTTTCTTGTGAGGAAGAGCTGCAGCCGCTTAACGAGCTCATGCCCAGTTCAGCGCACGAGCGACAGCAGTGGACGTTTAACATTAAGACTCGTTCAGCTAACTTTGATGTTGAGTGGGGCGCCGAGGAAGACACCCATTTGTTGCGCGGCATTTATCAATATGGTATTGGCTCCTGGGAGCAAATGAAGTTGGATCCGACGCTCAAGCTCAGCGAGAAGATATTGCTGAACGACACACGCAAGCCACAAGCCAAGCACTTGCAGTCCAGAGCCGAGTATCTACTCAAGATCATCAAGAAGAATGTCGAGCTAACCAAAGGCGAACAGCGTCGCCAACGGCGACCCCGTAAACTGAAAGCCAGCCTCAACTCAAGCACGACAGCTGTCAGCACGCCGGAACGAAAAGAGGGGGCTGC